TTCATAGTGCTGAGACTTTAACCCCTGCGCCACCAGGGAGGCCCCCTATGTTTTCACTTATTTAACCGACATTCATTCTAGCTGTCACTGGGTCAGCCACATGGGAAGACGTGGGTAGTACAAAGGTGATGACACTTAATCCCAGGCTTCCAGGATGCCCCCACCCAGTGGGAGAAAAGAAATGGCTAGATGCACGCTCCAGCGTCTTGGCAGGCGCAGAGGCAGGACAGGTCACAGCCTTAGAAGAACAGGCAAACAAGGAAAGGGAGAGTGGGGCTAGGGAGACGGGAACCAGGCAGCGGCATGTGCTTGGGGACCTGCTGAGCACCTGGCGCTGGACAGGGTGGGGGGAGTGGCCAGGTGCGAGGTGACAGAGGCCCAGGAAGCATCTGCTGTGACAGACAGGCCACCGAGTTGGGACTCTCTCATGCAGGCCGTTGGAGAGGTCGGAGCTTTTTTTTTTTTTTTTTTTTTTTTAAGATTTATTTATTTATTTATACAAGCACTGAGGCACAGTCAGAAGCGCGGGAGGGTGAGAGGATTCACCAGAGCCAGAGCGGGGAGCAGAGCAGGCAGAGGGACCAAAGAACACTGCTGAGGGGAGCAGTGGGGAGACAGGAGAGGTCTGTGTGCCACGCTGGACCCTCACCGGCAGCGGGGGATCGAACCGCCACTGCAGAGGCTATAGGCAGCTTCGCAGCCCAGTGCCCAACCGCTGGCCTCGGGGAGGCCCGAGGTCGAAGCGTTTTAACTTCCAAATATGATTAATTTTATTTTGTAGAAACAAAACTTGTTCTATTGGCTTTGTCCTATAGAAAAAACATTCTTAATTGGGGGAGCAAAGTTGAGCCTTGTGCACAACCAAGCTAGATGTAAGGTGCCTGGAACAAGGGTTGGGGCTGTGATCTTTGGGGCCAGGGGGGATTTGAGAGATGTCAGTTGGCGGTGTTCCTAGGCCTTGGTCATCACAGGTATTTACGAAAAGGGGTGCGTGTAGGACGACTCCTAGATTTCTGTGTGTCTGAGGGAGGGGCTGATGGAGGTGACTTTCTGAGCTGCGAATCCAGAAACAAGGGCAGGTTGGTGGAAATCAGAGAATGTGGTTCTCTCGGGCCACGGAGGTGTCTGTGGGGTTTCCCGGCAGCTCTGTAACTCAGCTGGCTGACCTGGGCAAGTGATCCACCCGTGAGGTGGTGAGGTCACCCAGAGAGAGGGTGTGGATTGAACAGGGGTTTCCAGGGGATGACGACTTCATTTCTGAAGCCTCCTGGATGAGCGCTGTGGACGGGGACGGAGCTGAGGGAGCCGAGCCGCGCTGTGCGCCCACAGAGGGTGGCCTCCGTGGCTCGCCTTTCTTCAGATGGGAACAAGCTGAAATACACTGCAGGAGCGTTTCCCCTTTTTTGTTGGCGCAGCCCCACCTACCCTGTAACAAGGAAGTTACTGGGGAATCAGAGAAATTGGAAGTTCCAGGCCCCAATATATGCCACCAGCGGCAGACACGACCCTGAGGCCGTGTTGATCAGGCTCTAGGGCAAGGAAGAAAACCCAACAGTCGTCTTTTTAATTCCTTGACTGAGATGCTTACAAAGTTGCCGGAGGGGCTGCAGGGAGGGGCTCTCGGGGCTTCCAGGAACAATTCTCAGAGCGCAGAACCAGTGCCCCAGGGAGACGCTGTCCTCACGTGTGCCAGGCAGCTGGGCCCTCAGGAGCTGCTGGTTACTCCCGAAACCCTCTGGCTCGCGACCACCACCCTGCGCACTCCTTCCCCAGTTCTCGCTTTCAGCCTTCACCTCATCGCCCGGCCTTGACCTTCTCTGCCGCTGCTTTCCCTTCTCCAGAAAGCCTGGCGTCTCCCCGCTGCTGACCTTTCAGCTCCTCCGTCAGCCTCAGGCTGGGGGCACGAGTCCCGCAGTTAGACAACAGAGGCAACGGAGAGACCTTTGCTGCCCTCCTGTTACTCTGGGTGCGCGCCCCCTCCGAGCCCCCCCCCCCCCCCGCTGCAGGACCCTCTCTTTCCCTCTGCTAAGTCGTCAGTTTCCCCCCCCCCCACCGTCCTCCCTCACGACCAGCTTCCTCTTGAAAAGGTCCTTTCCAGACCAGGCTTTTTCCCAGTTCCTGCCCCATTTTCTTCTTCGTCCTTCAAATGTATCGTCTAGTCACTGTCTTCCTCCCTGCCCCCCCCCCCAGTTCCTTGAGCCCTTACATGAGCGCTTTTACCCAGTCAGTCCACCAAGTCCAGCCTCCTGCTCACCCGTGACTCCCCTTTCATCCATTGATCAGTCCCCAGGACTCATCTGATTGGGCCTTGACATCGGACAGCTTGTCCCTCTTCATTCCTCCTCAGAGCACTTTACCTGGCTCAAGGACACTTTCCTGGTTCCTCTTTTGTTGCTGTTGTTTCCTTTACTGGGTCCTGTCACCTTCCTCCACTTTAAACACTGGGGTTCCCAATGGCCCAGTCCCTGAATTGTCCACATGAGCCAGATTTTCCTTTATTTTTTAAAAAAACATTTATTTATTTCTCCATACAGGAGCTGAGGTGCCGGCCAGAGGTTCAGGGATGAGAGGACTCCCCTGAGACAGAGTGGGGAGCAGAACAGGTGGATCCACTGAAATCCACTGCTGAGGGGAGCAGTGGGCAGACAGGAGGGGTCTGCTGCGCCATGTGGGTCAGCTCCTTGGTTGGGGATCGAACTCAGGCCCCAGTGGCTGTGGACAGCTTCATAGGGCTAAGACTTAACCCCCGCACCCCGCGTCGCCCCCAGGCGTGACCCAGCCTGATCCTTCCCTGGAATCTGCTCTGCCTGCCATCTTCCCAGCTCAGGAAAGGCCAACCTCCTCCTCCTTCATCAGGCCCTAAGTTTTTGAGTTTCTTTTTTTCATATCTCCCATCTGACCCTTTTAAAGGGTAAGTCAGGACCCCCCCCCCCATTTGTCTCCTTCCTACCCCACCCTGAGAAAACGCCAAAGAACTTGCAGTGCCTGCCAGAGCTGCTCCCAACCCAGCCCTCCTCGCACCTCCCTGCTCTCTGGGCCACCCTCCCGCCTCAGGACCGCCTATTTGTTCCCTTTCCCAGAATGTTCTTGCCCCAGCAGCCGCACGGCCGGCTCGCTCCCCAACCATGGCTTTGACTGAAGTTCCACCGCGGCAGAACGGCCATCACTGTCCACTGTGTCTCCAACCGCAACCTCCCACGCCCTCCGGCCTCCCTCTGTGCTGTTTTCTCGCATTGAAAAAAAAAAGACTTTACGGGCCTCCCCGGTGGCGCGAGGGGTTAAGTCCCAGCCTGTGGGGCTGTCCTGGGCACCACCCACAGGGCGCGGCAGGCCTCTGCCGTCTCCCCGCTGCGCCCCCCGCCGTCTCTGGGGCGTCCTCCCGCCCCCGCATCGCTGGCCTGCACCCCGGCTCCTGCATGCATGAATATGCATGAATACATACATCGCAAAAAAGACTTTATTCTTAGTTTCAGGGTCACAGAAATAGTGCGCAGAAGCCGCAGCGGCGCTCGCACCGTCCCGGCGCGGCCTCCAGCACGGACGCCGGTGCGCCTCGGGGCCCGGGCCCGCGGGCCACAGCAGGGGCGCGGCCGAGGCCCGCGCGCGGCCGCCGAGACGGGCCCGACAGGCGCCTGGCCGCCCCCGCCCGGCCGCCCCTCTTCCCGGCTCCTGCTGTCGCCTCGCGCCGGCCCGGGGGGCGCCCCGGCGCTCTGGGGGTCCCCGCCGCGGCGGACGGCCGCCCCGCTCTCCCCGCCGCCGCCCGCCCCTCCTGGGCCCCCCGCCGCGGAGCTCCGAGCGCCCGCATGGCGGCCCCGCGGCAGGCGCGGACCGGCCGGGGCGGCGCCCCCCGCGCACCACCCGGGCGCCCGCGGGCTCGCCAGGGCCCCGCCCGCCACCGCGAGCTCCGGGACCCCGCTCGGGCGGCCGCCATGGCCCCGCGCCGGCCGGAGGAGGCGGGCGACCTCCCCCTGGACGCGGCGGCCCGGCGGGCCCGGCAGAAGCCCCGACAGAGCCGCGCGCGGGCCCCGGGCTCGCGGAGCGGGGCGACCGCAGGCCCCTGCCCCGCCTCCAGGGGGCGGGGCGACAAAGCGCGGGAAATTTCGGCTGCGACGCCACGCCCCCCCGCGCGGGGGGCGGGGAAGGGAGCGCTCTTAAGTGGGAAACGGGCGTGGGCCTGTCCCCCGGCCCCGGCCCGCGTGGGGCGGCCTGGCGCCGCGCCGCCTTAAGGCTCCCTCGGCGAGGGCGCGGGCCACGCCAGCACTGCGAACGTCACCTGCCCCCACTTCCGGTCCGCCGGGCCGTCCGGGCGGCAGGTCCGGGCTGCCCCACACGCCAGGCCCCGCCCGGGCTCCCGGCCCGCCCGCGGGGGGCTCTGGGTAACCCCGTGGCCCGGGAGCCCCTGGCCGGGGGCGCGCCGGCCCGTGTGCTGGCGCCCTCGCCCGCGGGAAGCGCGAGGGGAGGGTCGCCGCATGACGTAATGTTTGGGTGCCTTCCCGTCCTGCGGCTTTCGCCCGGCGCGGCTGACGGGCCGTAGTTTGAGGCAGCAGCGCGAAGGGCCGCGCACATCCGGGGCTTCCCTCGGTCGCCGAGGCGCTCCCGGAGCCCACCAGATGAAAACTGAGAGTTCTGTGCATTTGCATAAGTGAACTGCGGGCTTGCAGGACGCCGGCCAATGGGGAGCGGGGGGCGGGGACGCGCCGGGTCGGTCGCCGCCCCCAGCGGGAAGGCGGGGCGTTGGATTGGCTCCTCGCTAAGCGGCAGGGGCGGGCGCCAATCGCTTCGGAGGGCCGGGCGGCCGGCCCCGAGCGGCAGTATTTAAGGCCAACCCAGTGCGCGGCGGGGCGGGGCGCAGCCCTGAGCGACGGGGCCGCCCGCCAATGGCGAGTGCGAGAGCGGGCCGCCCGGACCGGGAGCGCGGAGGGAGCCGAGGGAGGGGGTGGCTGGACCGGGGAGAAGCAGGAAGTAGCGGCGGCCGCGGGGAGGGCGGCGGCGGCGGCGGCTGGAGCCGGGAGAGACCGCCGGGCCCGGCCCGCACGGGAGCGGAACAGTAAGCGCGCCGAGCCCGCGCCGCCCCGGCCCCGCCCCCGGGGGGCGGGTAGGCGCCCCGCCCCTCCCCCACTTGGCCAAGTCCCCGCGCCGCGCCGCCCCCTGGGGCGCCGGGCCCCGCGCCGCCTTCCCGGGCGCCGGGCGGACCCGGCCCGTCGCCAGCGCCGCCCCCGGCCGGTAAACGCGGCGGCGCCGGGGCCTCCCGAGCCGGCGCCCCCGCCCGCGGCCCGGAGCGCGGCCGGGGCGCGGGCGGCTGCGGGATGTCGCGACCCAAAATGGTGTCCGCGCGGGGTGGGGGCGGGGAGCGGCGCGCGGCCTCGGGGCGCCCCGCCTCGGGGGGCCGCGGGCGGGGTCGCGGGGCCGCCGGGGGCCGCGCGGCCGCCGGGGTCCCGCCGAGGCCCGTCCCGCCCGCGCGCCTCAGTTTCCCCGCGCGGCGCCCGCGCGCTCCGGCGCCTCCCGCGGCGCGGCTGCCCGCGGCGGACGGCGGGACTCGGCTCCGCGGCCGCCGGCCCCTGCCCCGGCCCCGCGCCCCGGCCGCCCTTCCCGCCCGGCCCCTCCTCCGGCTCCGGGAAGGAGCGCGGCGCGGGCTGGCGCGGAGGCCCGGGCGCTGCGGCCGCGGGCGGGCCCGGGAAGCCTCTTAGGCCGCGAGCGCGGCTGCCCGTGACCGTCCACGCCGGCCGGCCGTGACCTCCGGGGCGCCCGTGCGCCCCGGCCCGCGGCCTGCGGGGGGCGGGTTTGCAGGTCCCCGTCTCCGCCGACGCGCCCGCAGCCCGCCCTCGCGAGCCCCGCGGCAGGCGGCCCCGGCCCGCGGGGCTGGAGAGGCAGGCGCAGGGCCCCGGGCGATCCCGCAGGGCAGAGGCGCGGGCCGAGGGCTTTGTTTCCACCCGGCGCCTGCAGAACTGGGGGGGAGGGGAGGGGAGGGCGCCCCTGCGTGCTCCGTCCGGCTCCAGCGGGTACCCGCTCCCGCCCCCCCACCTCGGTCCCAGCCAGGCCAGCTGCCACCTGCGGGGACTTGCAGCCCCGGTCTGGGGGCCGGGAGAGGCGAGAGCGCTGGCCCGGGCAGTGCTGGCTCCGGAGGGTCGGGGGTGCGTGAGGACGAGACTTCCTCAGGCGCCGCTTCCTGCGGGGAGCACGTGCGGGAGAGGCTGGTCGGGAGCGGGCCTGGGTCTCAAACTCTGGGCTGGCCTCGTCGGGCGGCCCGTCAGCCTTGGGGCGTTTTCTTCTTCTTGGTGCTGGGCCAGGGTGGGCTTGGGTGAGACTTCCTGGGCCGGCGCTGCCCACGGGAAATTAAAGGGGAGCTTGAGTTGGGGGTAAACTGGGGTGAGGCGCGGGGAGCAGCTGTGCTGGAGGAGCCAGCACCCTGGAGCTTTAGCCCCGAGAGAGCCAGGCCTGGAGGAGGAGGAGGAGGGGCCGGTGCTCTGGGGAGGGAAGGTGAGCGCAGCAGGTGTTGGTGACAGGAGAGGCCTCGGCTGGGGCCCTGGCGACCGGGCTGCCGTCGTGGTTTTCCCCTCCGTCCCTTCCCTTTGTCTCTCTCTGTTCTCTTCTGTTCCTCTTGGTCTCTTGGGTGATTCCCCGCGTCCACTTCTTGGCAAGCCAGCTGGATTTCTAGGCGCCGGCGATGACCCCCAAGCACCCAGAGTGTCGTGATCCCCGACTCTCGCGTGTGGGCCCAGCCCTGGGTTTCAGTGCCGGCTCCTTCCCGGCTGCCCCTGACCTGGCGCGGCCTCGTTTTCCGGGTTCTCGCGCTCACATGTGCGGCTTCACGTCCCGCTCAGCGGGAGCCTGGCATGTGTAGCTGCGTCTCCCTCTTCCCTCCGCGCAGCGGCCGTGGGGCGAGGATTGGCTGGCGCGCACGGAAGGCCGTTGACAACGGTGGGGCTGGGGTCAGTTCTCAGGCCTCGGCTTAAGCCACCGCCCCTTTGCGCACATGGCCTTGCAGGTCTCAGTGGACCCCGCGAGCTCGCGCAAGACTGTGAGTGGATCCCATGTTGCCACAAATGAGCCCTCGAAGCTAGAGCGTCGTGCCCGCCGCCTCCTCGGGAGTCGTGGCGATAAAGCGGTTGATTCTGTGGCCGGCGCAGGAGGGACAGAGCTGGTTTTCTCTGAGATGTCCACGGCCCTGCCCTTGTCACCTGGCCGTCCCGTCCCCTCCTGTCCGTGTTTCCCAGAAGGCGTTTCCTCTCCCTTCTCTGGACCTTGGTGCCTCCCCCGGTGGGCACGCCCTCCCGCCCTCCCGCCCTCGCGGTCTCAGGGCTGCGCCCACCAGCATCCCCCACCCCGGCGCTCCAGGACGGCTCCGCGGTGGAGGGCGGGCGAGGCAGGGTCAGCGCGAGAAACCCGAGCGAGGTGGGCCGGGCTTCCCGCGACCGGGGTCTCAGTTTCTCCTCTTGTGTTTCCTCAGGTCTGGGACCTGCTGCCATGGGGGACATGAAGACCCCTGATTTCGATGACCTCCTGGCCGCCTTTGACATCCCTGACATCGACGCGAACGAAGCCATCCACTCTGGGCCGGAAGAGAATGAGGGGCCCGGGGGCTCAGGGAAGTCAGAGTCCAGTGCCGGGGGCGAAGCTGGAGAAGCAGCAGCCGCAGCTGCCGGGGACGGCCCTGGGGTTCCCGCCCAGGCCCCCGACCATGGCCTGCCGCCTCCGGACATCTCGGCCGTCAGCGTCATTGTCAAGAACACCGTGTGTCCCGAGCAGCCCGAGGCCCTGGCCGGGAACTCGGGTGGGGAGGGGGCCCGGACCGGGGGGCTCGCCAAGGATGGACCCGGGGGGCCTCGCCTGATGCAGAATGGTTTTGGGGGCCCTGAGCCATCCCTTCCAGGAACGCCTCGCTCGCCAGCTCCTCCCGGTGCGGGTACCTGGAAAGAAAAAAACGTGGACGGCAAAGCTCCCTTGGACCTCTTCGCTCATTTTGGGCCTGAGCCAGGAGAACACCCGGACCCCCTGCCTCCCGCCGCGCCCTCCCCTCCCCGCGAGGGCGCCATGACCCCACCTCCCTTCCCCTCTCCCTTCGAGCTGGCGCAGGAGAACGGCCCGGCCCTGCTGCCGCCTGGGGCCTTGAAGCAGGAGAGCTGCAGCCCACTTCCCGCGCGGGGCTCCAGCCCTGACGCCACGGGCGTCCCTGCCAGCGCCTCGCCCTCCGCGGTGGCCGGGCCGCCCTTCATCAAGCAGTCTCCGGGGCACCAGAGCCCTCCTGCCTCTCCCGAAGCGCCTGGCTGTCAGCCCCTCAAGGAGGAAGAGGAGGACGAGGGGCCGGCGGACAGGTCTCCCCCGGGAAGTCCCCGGAGCCCCTCCAGCGGCGCCGAGGCCGCGGACGAGGACAGCAACGACTCCCCGGCCTGCGCCTCGCGGCCGCTCAAGGTGCGGATCAAGACCGTGAAGACGTCCTGCGGGAGCATCACGAGGACGGTGACCCGCGTCCCCTCGGACCCGGACCCCTCCGCGCCTGTGCCTGAGGGCGCCCTGGTGGCCGAGGCTGGTCTCCTGAAGCTGTCCCCGGCGACCCCGGCCCCCGAGGGGCCGAAGGTGGTGAGCGTCCAGCTGGGGGACGGCACGCGGCTGAAGGGCACCGTGCTGCCCGTGGCCACCATCCAGAACGCGAGCACGGCCATGCTGATGGCGGCCAGCGTGGCCCGCAAAGCCGTGGTTCTGCCCGGGGGCGCCGCCGCCAGTCCCAAGACGATGGCCAAGAACGTGCTGGGTCTCGTGCCCCAAGCCCTGCCCAAAGCCGAGGGCCGGGTGGGGCTGGGGCCCGGGGGACAGAAGGTGAACGGGGCCTCCGTGGTGATGGTGCAGCCTTCGAAGGCGGCCGCCGGCCCTGGCGCCGCGGGCGGCACGGTGATCTCGCGGACGCAGTCCAGCCTGGTGGAGGCCTTCAACAAGATCCTCAACACCAAGAACCTGCTGCCCGCCTACAGGCCCAACCTGAGCCCGCCGGCCGAGGCCGGCCTGGCCCTGCCGCCCACGGGCTACCGCTGCCTGGAGTGCGGCGACGCCTTCTCGCTGGAGAAGAGCCTGGCGCGCCACTACGACCGCCGCAGCATGCGCATCGAGGTCACCTGCAACCACTGCGCGCGCCGCCTGGTCTTCTTCAACAAGTGCAGCCTGCTGCTGCACGCGCGCGAGCACAAGGACAAGGGGCTCGTCATGCAGTGCTCGCACCTCGTCATGCGGCCCGTGGCCCTGGACCAGATGGTGGGGCAGCCGGACATCACGCCCCTGCTGGCCGTCCCGCCGGCCCTGGGCCCGCCCGCCCTGCCGGCCCTGGGCAAGAGCGACGGGGGCGTCGCCTCCGCCATCACCGTGGTCGCCGCCGAGGCCCCCGTGCTGCCGCTGTCGGCCGAGCCGCCCGCCGCCCCGCCGGCTCCGCCTTCACGTGCTTCCGCTGCCTGGAGTGCAAGGAGCAGTGCCGGGACAAGGCCGGCATGGCCGCCCACTTCCAGCAGCTCGGGCCCTCGGCCGCGGGCGCCTCCAGCACGGTGAGTCGCCCGGGCCGGCCCTGCCGGGGCGGGGGCGGGGAGGGGAGCCGGGCGGGGGGCGGCGTGGGGGCACAGGCTGCTCCTCGCCGACTGGCTCGCGCCCTCCCCCGGCAGGTGTGCCCGACGTGCCCCATGATGCTCCCCAACCGCTGCAGCTTCGGGGCGCACCAGCGCATGCACAAGAACCGCCCGCCCCACGTCTGCCCCGAGTGCGGCGGCAACTTCCTGCAGGCCAACTTCCAGGCGCACCTCCGCGAGGCCTGCCTGCACTTCTCCCGCCGCGTGGGCTACAGGTGCCTCCGCCTCGCCTCCCGCGCGGGCGCGGGGCCCCTTCTCGCGGGGCCTGCCGGCAGGAGGGGCGCGGCGGCGGGGGGCCCTCGGGCCTCCTCGGGTGCCTCTCCTCCACCTGGCCGCGTTCACCCGAGCTCCCTCGGCGTCCGCCCTGCCCGAGAGTGACGTGGGGCGGGGGGGGGGGGAGGTGCCCTCGCCTCACCAGTGCCTCCCCCGCTCCCCAGGTGTCCCAGCTGTGCAGTGGTGTTTGGGGGCGTGAACTCCATCAAGTCCCACATCCAGACGTCGCACTGCGAGGTTTTCCACAAGTGCCCCATCTGCCCCATGGCCTTCAAGTCTGCCCCCAGCGCCCACGCCCACCTCTACACCCAGCACCCCAGCTTCCACACGCAGCAGGCCAAGTGAGCGGGGGGTGCGTGAGGAGGGGGACTGGGGCGGGCCTGCCCGGGGGAGCGTCTGCACTGTCCTCTCCGCCCGCCAGGATGATCTTCAAGTGCGCCATGTGTGACACGGTCTTCACCCACAAGCCCCTGCTCTCCTCACACTTCGACCAGCACTTGCTGCCCCAGCGCGTCAGCGTCTTTAAGTGCCCGTCTTGTCCTCTGCTTTTCGCCCAAAAAAGGACCATGCTGGACCACCTTAAGGTACGGGAGTCGAGGGACAGAGGCACGACCCCCAGGAAGTGGGCGCAGGGAGGACCTTGGCCTCCGGCAAAGCCAGGCTGTGCCCCCAGCAGCCACCCCGCTTGTCTCCCTCACAGAACACCCATCAGTCTGGGCGTGCAGGGGAGGAAACTGCTGGGAAAGGGACTGGGGGTGCCCTGCTGACCCCCAAGACTGAGCCCGAGGAGCTGACTGTCTCCCGGGGAGGGGCAGCTCCCCCTACTGAAGAGTCGTCTTCGTCTACAGAAGAGGAAGAGCTGCCCAGCTCCCCCGAGCCCCCGCGCCCAGCCAAACGGCCCCGGCCCCGGCGGGAACTCGGGAACAAGGGCCTCAAGGGCGGGGGTGGGGGCCCTGGAGGCTGGACCTGTGGCCTGTGCCACTCCTGGTTCCCCGAGCGCGACGAGTACGTGGCTCACATGAAGAAGGAGCACGGCAAGGTGAGCGGCCCCAGGGGGGCAGGCGGGCCGGGACGGCGGGGGGCGCTCCTGTGTGGCGGGGGGGCCTGGGGGCGCCCGGCCTGCTCCGAGACCCCCTCCCCTGCTCTCCTAGTCCGTGAAGAAGTTCCCGTGTCGCCTGTGCGAGCGCTCCTTCTGCTCGGCCCCCAGCCTGCGGCGCCACGTCAGGGTCAATCACGAGGGGATCAAGCGAGTTTACCCCTGCAGGTAACCCCCGGGCGGGCCGCCCTCGCTGCCCCCGCCCGCCTCCTGTCTGAGCGCACCGAAGGTGGAGGCCTCCCTCGGTTCGGTAGCCCCGTCCCCGAGCCCAGGGCCTCGGCGCCCACTGCGCCCCTCGCCCCAGGTACTGCACGGAGGGGAAGCGCACCTTCAGCAGCCGCCTGATCCTGGAGAAGCACGTCCAGGTCCGGCACGGCCTGCCCCTCGGCGCCCAGTCGCCCGGCCGGGGCGTCGCCTTGACACAGGGTTCCGGAGCCAGAGCCCAGGTAGGCGGCGGCCAGGCCTGCGGGGGCGGGAAGCTGCAGGGCCGCGTGGGGTGCCCAGGTCCCGGGGGTGACGGCGAGGGGCGCCTGCCCGCTGTCCTCCTCCAGGGGCCGGGACGGAAACGCCGCCAGTCGTCCGACTCCTGCAGCGAGGAGCCCGACAGCACGACGCCGCCCGCCAAGTCCCCCCGGGGCGGCCCCGGGCCCCTGCGCTGCCGGCGGAGCAGCGGTTCGGCGGAGCCGAGCCTCCTGGCGGGGCTGCGGGTGGAGGGCGGCACCCAGCAGTGCCTCGACTGCGGCCTGTGCTTCGCCTCCCCGGGCTCCCTGAGCCGGCACCGCTTCATCAGCCACAAGAAGAGACGGGGCGTAGGGGGCGCAGGGGGCGCCGGCGCCCCGGGCCTGGGGGACGGCGAGGAGGAGGCCGCGCCGCCGCCGAGGTCTGACCCGGAGGGCGGAGACTCGCCCCTGCCCGCTGCCGGCGGCGCCCTCACCTGCAAGGTCTGCGGCAAGAGCTGCGACAGCCCCCTCAACCTCAAGACCCACTTCCGCACGCACGGCATGGCCTTCATCAGGGCGCGGCAGGGGGGCAGCGGGGACAACTAGGCCCCTGGCCGGACTGGGCTCCCCCCACCCCCGCCCGGCCCCCCGCGCCGGGGCGTTTCGTTCCAACCCGCGTTCTGGTCCGCGCCGCCCCGGCCCGGCCGAGCTGGAGGATCGTAGTTCTTTGCAGTTGCCCCCCTTCGGGTGCGGCCCCGGATCCTGTAGGACGGACCTGCCCCCCCCCCTCTGAGCCCGACACTAACGACCCTCCTGCTGCTGCCCCGCGGAGGCGGAGGTGGAGACGGGGCCCCGGCCGCCCTGCCGCTCCTCCGCCCTGCCCTGCCCGAGCACCCCCGGGCCCCCTGGCACTCAAGCCCCCGCCCTGCAGTGCCTTTCACTTGTCTTTATTTTTCCCCCAGAATTCCGGGGGGGCTGGTAGGGATGAGTCCTGTCAAGGGGGCTCCGGGGAGGAGGCTCGGCTCTCAGGAATCCTGCGTTCTCGTAGCGACGATACTAACTGGGGGCGCCGGACGGGAACCGCCCATTAAACTGCTCGTGGTTTGATCCCCCGTCAGGCTCTTCTTTGCGTGCAGCTCGGCCAGGGCGGCCTGGACGGGGCGGGGTGACAACCAGCTCGGGAGGCGGCGGCTGACCAGGCAGGTAGGGGAGCGCAACTGCCCCCCACCTCGGCCGTGGGGGCCCCTGTAGCTCCTGGACACGGCTGTTCCCCGTCACTGGAAAAAGGCAACTCGGCAGGGACGCGGGTGGCTAACTAAGGACTTTATTTCAAACAAAAATTAAAAAACTGAGGGCTGTTTCCCCGGTTGGGGGGGCGCGGACTCCCCGAGGCTGGGCGGAGGCCCTCGCCCCGGGACCGGCACCCGCGGCGAGCGCCTGCGCCGGAGCGCGCCCACGGGGGTCTGGCCCGGGCCGGTCCCCGGGAGGGGACAGTCAGGCAGCAGCGTGGCCGAGCACAGGGTCGAGTCCTAAGTACCGAGAACCTCCTGCCCCTCCCCGGGGCCCGGAGCGGACGACAGACGCCTGCAGGAAGCGCCGCGGCCCCTCGCGTCTCCGTCCCCGGGGACGGTGCGTCCTGGAGCCGTCGGGTGGGAACACTGATGGGGCCGCGCACCCCGCGGCCGCCTCCCGCTCCCCGGCCAGCTCTGCGGTTACCACATGATCCTTGTCGTTCTCGCCTTCCATGCCCCTTGGGTGGACGGTTGGGCGGGGCTCCTGGTTTGGGGCTTCTCTGGCGGGGCCCTCCTGGGGAGAGCCCTGAACCCCCCCGCCGCGCTCCGGGGGCCGGGAGGGTCACATGATGCCGTTGGTGAGGTACTGGAAGCCGTCGTAGAGCTTGGTGGTGATGGAGCGCATGCTGCCGTCCACCATCTGCTCCACCAGCAGCTGCAGCTGCTCCTCCGTCATGCTCATGTGGAAGCGCTCCTTGAGGTTGCGGATGGTGCTGGAGCCGTGGAAGCAGGGCAGCTGCGAGCCTGCGGACGCGGGCAGAGGGTCACGGGGAGCCAGGAGGGGGCTGGGTAACAGCCGAGCAGACCGCTGGGGTGTCTGAAGTGCCCCTCCCCTGCCCCTCCGAGAGCCCTGCCCCGCACGGCGTCTGCGGGGGGGAGGGGGCGGCGGGAGGCCCTGTCCTGAGCCCACCTGCGCCCCGCACGCCTGCTCCTCCTCGGCGGGAGGGTGGGCGGGGCCGGGGCCTGGGCCCTGAGCCGGGCACTTATCTGGTTGCAGGTCTCTGCCTACGCTACGCCTGACACTCACAGACGACCTGGGCCACCGTCATCACGGGGCCAGACGGGGACGCTCCCGAGCAACGCCGGCAACCTGCGGGGCGGGGCGGGGAGGGGAGACTGGCAGCTCGGGCGTGGCAGCTGAGCCCTGGGGGTGGGGCAGGGCCCAGAGGACCGGAGGGTCCGGGACGGCAGCCTGGAGGCGGAGGGGACGCGGCACAGGGCACAGGTGAGACGGGAGGAAGGGCTGAGGACAGCGGGGTCAGAGGTCAAGGCCAAGAGGGAGGAAAGTGGTGACCGGAAGCCTGGCCTGGCCAAGAGGCCAAAGGAAGGAGACAAGCCGGAGTGCCCAGGAGGTGGCGTCTGCCGCTTCTGCCCCCCACCCCACCCCAAGGCGGGGAAACACTGCATCCGAGAGGGACCCTGGGAAACCTGCCCCCAGGCTCCAGGTGGAATCAGGTTTCTGGAAGCTCCATGCCCAGGGCCCACCGAAAGCGGGGATCCCGAGGCCCGGCCTCGCCCCAGCCCCACCTTGCTGCATGATCTCCACGATCTGCACCACCTTGTCCATGTGCTTGCGCGCGGCGATCAGCCCCTGCAGCATCAGCATCTTGTAGTAGTTGAACATGTCCCCGTCCAGGCCGCCCATCACCTGGCGGGAGGGGAGCTGCACGTGGGCCGCGGCCCGGAGCCCGCAGGACGCCGTCCTCCCTGGGGCAGCTGCGCAGGGCCCGACTCGCCCACTCTCCGGCAGGCGGGAGCCCCCGACACCCGACACCCAGCCTCACGCGGGCCCCTCCTCTGGGGGAGCCCCCGCGCCCCCCCCACTCACGTCCACAAACTCCGTGGTCAGCTTAAAGGCGGACGTCTCAAAGCCCAGGTTCCGGGGGGAGCTGGACAGGATGAAGCCGAAGTCGATGTGGATGATGTGGCCATCTGCGTCCAGGAGGATGTTCCCGTTGTGCCTGCGGCGGGGCGGGGAGAAGCGGCGGCAGTGAGCCTGGGGCGCCGGGCCGCGGTGGCGGTGGCGGTGGCGGGGCAGTTCCCTGACCGGCCTGGGCGCTGGGCCCGCGCCGAGCCCCGCGGTGGGGAGAAAGGAAATGACGAAGGAAAGCGGCGCTGGGTGGTCAGGGCCACGGCGCCTGAAGCTGCTGCTATGAACAGCGCAATAAAAATGGGTTCAGATCCCTCATTTCCCGAGAACTCGCCGACCGGCCCCAGCCTAGTAGAGAGGCCAGAAGCCAGGCCCAGCGCAGCCCGAGGCCGCGCACCTGGCTCAGGGGGGGCCTCTGCTCAGGACAGTTCCCGCCAGGCCAGAGGGAAGGCCGGCCAGGGGGGCGGCCCTCCCCCCAGGGCAAGCAGGACAGGGAGGGCTACATGTGAAGCGGCTGGGGGCCTCGAGGGCAAGCTGAGCTCCGCCAGGGGCTTGCGGAGACAAACCCCAGGCCTCTGTGGGTCCCACCCGAGGCCGACGGCAGGAGGAACCGCCAACGCGGCAAGCACGTGAGGCCCGGCCCATGCAGCGCGGCCAAGCCTGGCCAAGCCTCTGTAAGCTTTTTAGGCCAAGAGTTCCAGCCTGAGGGCACCTGGTCTGGGCTCTGGCTGACCAAAGAAAGGGGACAGAGGGCGACCAGAGCTCCAGAGTCCTCCCTCCGGAAGGGCGCGCAGGCACAACCTCGAGTGCCCGGGAGGGTCCGATGCCCCAGCAGAGGACAAGGATCCCCCGAGGAGTCGCTGATTTGCTGCAAGCCCAAGGTCAGGAGGGGCAGTTTCTCTCAACCGCTGGGGATGCTCTGACTGTTCTGAGACACTGAAGTGACCCCAAACCCACTTCTGGTCCGGGCCCAGCCCCAGGGCCCTTCGTCACAGTGGCTGATTCCGCTCAGGGCCCATCTTTTTTGAATGAACAGGAGAGGCTCATCAGCTGCCTTCGCCCCAGACCCTAATCTCCCACACATGCTCACCACCCACAGTTCAGCCCGGAGCCTGACCAGCGCCTGCTTCCCTGCCCCCTATTCCGGGCCCAGCTCCCCAATCCGACTTCAGGAACAGTCCACAGGGGGCGGCCAACGTCCTCAGTGACGCCACCAGCCCTCTCCGGCCCTCAGCCTCGACGGCTCCGTCTGAGGGCTGCTGGGGTGGGCGAGCGCAGCTCTGAAAGCTCCCTGACTTGGCTCCCTCAGGAGGAAACATCTGTCCGACGGGGTTTTCATCTGGTCTCAGCCTGGGAACACCAGGCCGTGATGAGCATGCAGCAGGCGCGAGAATCCACTCAGCTGCCCTGCGAGCTCTGGCTGTGCCCCCACGACCCACAGGCATGCGGGCCGACCCTGAGCGCCGTCCGGGGCAATCTCAGAGAGCAGGGCCCGCGGTTCAGCGGGCTGTACGGCACATCGGCACCGACGGCACGCAGGCTTGGGCCTCACAAAGGTCAGACGATATGGGAAGAAATGACTGAGCAAAACGACGCGTGGGGCCGCCATCTGGAAATCACGGGCTGCAGTAAGGAGAGCTCGGCCGGGAGCCTGGGCGGTCTCCACTGCGTCTCCCCACTACCTCGCTCCTCTGCCCCACTCACCGCCACCACCGGGCCAGGCCTTGCTGCCTCTTGCCTTGTTACTAAAGGGCCAGTGACACCCAACCTCACCCGAAGCACCATGGGGTGCGCTCGTTAACCAGAGACTGATCATGTCGCTCTTCCGCCTGCGAAGTAAAACTCCCCGGCCCCCTGATGAAGGCCTTCCTGGCCTGGCCTCGAGCACAGACCAAGCTTTAAACACACGAAGCACTGCCTCTGCCTGCAGCATCTGCCCCCCACGCTCTCTCCTGGCCCCCCTCTTCCTGGCCTTCAAGGCCCTGCCCTGCTCACCGAAACCCTGGTCGTTGCGTGAACCCTGCCCTTCTGGGCCCCTTTGCAAGCCACCTCCCGGACTAACGCCCCCTGACCGCACCGGTCTCCGTTTAAAACACGCTGTTTCGTCTTTACACCTTGACCACGGAAGGTGGGGACGCGTGAGAGCGACACACGAGGGGCAGCGTTCACCTACCTGTCCTTGACTTGCAGCAGGTAGCAGACCAAGCAGTAGCCGGCACAACTTTGCACGAAGTTGCGCTGGGCACTGAGGAAAGCCTCAGTGGTGTAACTGCCGTGCTCCTGCAGGAAGTAATCGAGCAGGGACAGCTGTGACTGCTTCTTCACCTGGTGGATGGACACGGCATTCACCACTGGCTCAATCATGCCGCTGTCGGCCGAGATCACCAGAATCTTGTATGGCTTGATCCACAGGGGCACGCGCTCCTGCTCCCAGATGGACTGTGGAGACAGAGCGCGGGGCGCTGGTCCTTCTCCAGACCCAGGCAGGAGGCCAAGGCGCCCCTCTGCCCCCAGCCCTAAGTGGTGCCTCTCCTTGGTGGCTGTGACTCTAGGCCATCAAGTGAGTGAAACCCAGTGACCCCGCCGAGGACCAGGGAAATCCGGAAGGAAGCCCAGGGCCCACGAGACACAGGGATGCGCACTACAAAGGCATGTGGGGAAAATATAAAAATAAGGCAAGAAACAGGAAGAAAAGCACCCAGGGAAGCTCATGGGCACCTCCCATCAGGGAGGGCAGGGGCCACTAAACAAGTTCCAAGAGCAGGGGGAAAACGGAAAGGATTTAGTTTCTGAGAAAGCATGTCTAGAATATGAAAATATTCTCCACGCAGAACTGGGTCAAAGAGATCAAGATTTTTGCAGGCGACCACGCCGGGGCGAGGGGCCCACACCTCAGCCCATGGCAACCCACAGGTCCAAGGCCAGGGGGAGCTTTGCTCTAAAGGGCAGAGCCAGGCCCGCCGGCCTCTGCTAAGCGCAGGGCAGGCGCAGGCTACCGCCGGCCGCTAGGGGCCGCTGCAGAGCCCCCCGTCCCCGGAGCCGCCTTTTGCATCTACTTTACCCCTGGGCACCAGCTGTCTCCAGGTTGGGCTCCCTGCAGAGACACCTGTGTGGGTCTCCCTCTTTCTCTCTTTCTTTCTTTTTTTCATTTATTTATTAATTCATACAAGAGCTGGGGCACAGGCCAGAGGTGCTGGGGGTGAGAGGATTCACCAGAGACAGAGTGGGAAGCAGAACAGAACAGGCAGATCTACTGAAATCCACTGCTGAGGGGAGCAGCGGGGAGACAGGAGAGGTCTGCGGCACCATGTGGATAGCTCCCTGGCTGGGAGCGAACTCAGGGCGCAAACAGCTTGATAGCTCTGAGACTTAACCCCTGCGCCACCAGGGAGGCCCGGTTCTCCCTCCTTCTCTCCCTCCTCTTACCTGTAGTTGCTTCAACACCTGGAAGGCCAGCAGCTCCTGCCTGAGGTCATCTCCGCACTTGACAATGACTGACAGGAGCCGCCAATTGGGGAGATGGCCATAGGGGGAGCCCTCTCTGATCCGCCTGAGGAGAGAGAGGCCAGGGTGTCCAGGGGAAGGACGTGGACAAGCTCCCACCAAGAGTCCAAGCCACTCTCCCTGCCAGGCAACGACTCAGCCGGCCTGGGGGTCTGACGAACTTGAGGGAGGCTGGATACTGCGGGTGTCCGGGTGAGCTTTGACAGGGAGCAGAGCCCACCCCCACCAACTCACCGCACTTTCTCCTGCCAGGGCTCTTTGAGAGCGACAGCAGAGGGGTCTTCGGGGTCTCGCTTGAAGGCGGTGGGGGTGTGAGCCAGCTGCTCCGACAAGCGCCGGCTAGTGGGAAGAGACGGGATCAGTGCCTGGAGGGGCTACCCCAGAGCCTCCCCACTCCTATGCAATGTTCCTTGGTTCCGGGCACAGAGACAACCCGGGCCGAGACTCACGGGAGGAAGCACCACGGATGCTTTCTGCTAACCTGCTGGTTTGCAGATGTGGTTTTTTTTTTTAATTTTTATTTTTAAAAGATTTTATTTATTTATTTATTTATACAAGCACTGGGTACAGTCAGAAGCGCGGGAGGGTGAGAGAATTCACCAGAGCCAGAGCGGGGAGCAGAGCAGGCAGAAGGACCGAAGGACACTGCTGAGGGGAGCAGCGGGCGGCAGGAGAGGTCTGCGCGCCATGCGGGACCCTCGCCGGCGGCCGGGGATGGGGATGGAACCGGCGGGGCAGAGGCTGCGGGCAGCTTCGCAACCCAGCGCTCAACCGCTGTGCCACCAGGGAGGCCCTGCAGATGTGTTTAAACGTGGGCTCTCCTGCCCGCCCCCTTCCTTTACCAAGATTCTGACTCAGGACAGGTGTGGCTCTGGAGAGCACCCCGCTCTCGCACCCTGGAAACGGCGGTCCTCAGACCCCAACAGACACCTGCTCTAACTCCCCGTCGGGTGCATTCATCCCCGGAGGCCTTCTAACATTTACTGTCCTTCTGTAGCAGCCCAGTCATTTCTCAGGCTGCACCTTTGCTACTTCAAGTCTGGGGGCCTCAGGACGCGGGCAGAGGAAGGAGAAAGGGAGCAGAAGGACGCAGGCCGGTGGGGACAGGCGGGCAGTGCCTAAGGGGAACAGACAGCGAGCGGAGCGGCTCGGTGGCCTGGCCGTACCGGATGTCACCCGCTGCAATGAACACGGGCTCCTTGCTCTCCTGGCTGGTGATGCTGTCCACGGAGAACTGGGAGATGTTGTCGCAGCTGTTGGCGTGCACCTCGGGGAGCTGGGGGAGCGGGGTTGCAGGTGAGCCGCGCAGAGCACAGGTCTTGCTTCTTTCACCTCCTCCACAGATCACCTCCCGTGCCAGCCTCACCCCTGCCTTCCACACTTTACTCCACAAGCTTCCCTGGCCACATGCCATCCTGCCCACTTGGGCCCCAGCCCCTGGGCACAGGGAGTTTCTCACTGGCCGCTACCTGCCCCGGAACGAGCTGGCTCACTGCTGAAATAGTCCCGCGTCCCACCACACGTGGAACCAGAGTGGCTGAAAAGTGATCTGACCCCCTTTTAAAAGCACTCAGTAGGCCTTTTACTAATGACCCACTGAGCCGTCAAGAAAGGGCAGAGTAAAAAACACCGCTTTTGGGTGAAGTAGCAGCATCTTGTGTTGTCTTGCTTCAATCGGTGGTGTAACACGGTAAAAAAAAAAAAAAAAAAAAAAAAAGTGATCTGAAGTCTGAATTTTTAACAGGTTCTCCAGAAGATTCCCGAGCACTGAAGCTTGCAGAGCCTTATCCCGAGAGCTGCCCAGCGCCCTCCCATAGGGTGCAGGATGGAGCCGCTCAGAGTGGGGCGCTCACCATTTCTCAATCCTACCCTCTCCTGTGGGCCCGGAGCTTCCACATGTGGCGTCACTATCTCATGACTCGTTTTTCCTTAAATGTCTGCATCCAGTCTCCACAGTTGGACTTTTAAAAGCTCCAGAACAAAGATTGTTTTTTCACAAAGTGAAATCTCAGCCCTGCATAAAAACCCTGTTCTGCTTCCCACAAGCCCACAACAAAGTCCAAAGCCTTCCCGCATACGAGCCCCTCGTAAGCCCCTCGGTGCCACTCTTCACCTCACACCACACATCACAGCCAAGCAAAATTTCTTCCAGGTGCTAAAGAGCCCCAAATTCTCTCTCCCGTTCTGGTTTTTGTTCTTCCACCTGGAATACTCCGTCCACCTAATTCCTCCCCACTTTCAGGTATGCCCCACCCCAAATCTGAAGTGGTAACCCCACCCTCAAATGCTCCCACTGCCCCCTCCTCTCACAGACCACGTCTGCCTGTGACCAGCCTCGCTCCCTCCTTTAGGCCTTCACCTCTGCAGGCAGGGGCCGATCTCGCCCGCTGGCACCAGGACGCAGGCTGGCACAAAGAAGGGCCTCACTGAGCATCTCTTGGTGGGCAACTTCCCGCTCCCTGTCTGCCTGAGACACTTCGTACAGCAGTGTGCAGGAAGGGTTTTTCACCAGACCGTGCCGCCTCCCTGGGCCGGGAGCTCCTCTTACCTTTCCCCTACGCGTCACCTGAACCAGACGCCAGCTGAGCAGACTGTTCCTGCCTGCACCCCACTACCCACACCTGCACCGGGGCATCGGCCTCGGCCAGCTCCGGCCACCTGCTTGGCACGCTCACCTCCACCTGCAGCTCGCCGATGTCATCCACCGACCAGGCCTCATCGTCGTTGTCGTAGTTGGGCACGATGCTGAAGCTGCCCGCCCGCTGCTCATGCGTGATGCCGCACTCAGGCAGGTTCTCCACGGACCGGGTGCTCCGGATCCGATTCTCAGGGATGCGGGCGGGGACACTGGTGGTGTCGAAGTTTTCACATTCAAGGACTTCAACATAGATCAGGTAGGGAGCCTGGTGGGGAGGGAGTGAGAATAGTACTTGCAGTCTACCTCTACCACCGCGCCCAAGTCCACACTGGACTGGAGCTCACAGGGCCCACCGGACTCTCGCCCTCAGACCCGACGCCAGGAGCCTGTCAGAGAAGTGTCTGCCTAAGTGCAGGAGGCTTCAAAATGCTCTGGCTGAGCTTCAGAATGTGTGTGTGACACACTCATACACTTCTCAATTACAGCCTGTGAGAGAGGCCTAGAAGGTTCTGTGGGCTTATCTTAAAGAGACCAAAACAGGGCCTCCCCGGTGGCGCAGCAGTTGAGCGCTGGGTTGCGAGGATGCCCGTAGCCTCTGCAGCGCCGGTTCGATTCCTGGCCACCGGCGAGGGTCCCACATGGCTCTCAGACCTCTCCTGCCGCCCGCTGCTCCCCCAGCAGTGTACTTCGGTCCCTCTGCCTGCTCTGCTCCCCGCTCTGGCTCTGGTGAATTCTCTCACCCTCCCGCGCTTCTGACTGTACCCAGCGCTTGTATAAATAAATACATCTTAAAAAAAAAAAAATGGGGCCTCCCCAGTGGCACAGTGGTTGAGCGCTGGCTTGCGAAGCTGCCTGCAGCCTCTGAGGCGCCGGTTCGATCTCCGGCTGCTCCCCGGCCACCGGAGGAGGGTCCCACATGGCGCGCAGACCTCTCCTGCCGCCCGCTGCTCCCCTCAGCAGTGTCCTTCGGTCCTTCTGCCTGCTCTGCTCCCCGCTCTGGCTCTGGTGAATTCTCTCACCCTCCCGCGCTTCTGACTGTACCCAGTGCTTGTATAAACAAAAACAAACAAACAAATAAATAAATACATAAATAACATGAAATAACATGCCTCTATTTAAAAAAAAAAAAAAAAATGGGGAAAAGCTGGACACTGTCCCGAGGAGGGCTCTCCGCCTCCAACACTTCTGGAACGAAGTCATGGAACTACCGCCTCTCCCACCCCCAGACACATGCAGCATCCTTCTCTCAGCCCTGTCCACGCCGATCAGAAAAGATCCTAGAAACAGATTCCCCTGCTCTCAGGGGCCTCCTTGGCGGTCCACGGGGTGAGTCTCCAGATATCATCATGATGACCCGAGTCTGATCCCCGGCCAGGGAGCTACCCACATGGCGCAGCAGACCTCTCCTGTCTCCCCGCTGCTCCCCTCAGCAGTGGATTTCAGTCCTTCTGCCTGTTCTGCCCCCCGCTCTGTCTCTGGTGGATCCTCTCACCCCTGCACCCCAGCTCTTCTATGCAAAAATAAATAAATCTTTTTTTTTTTTTTTTTAAAGCGCCATCTCTCTCGCTGAAGTGCCTGGAAGCCTGGCACCCCAGCTCTAGAGCGGCACCATGGGGGAGGGCTGGAGACGACTCTCTGTTGAGACATGGGAGAAGCGAGCTGGGAGGACTAGACCTCTTTGGTCAGAAAAACAATGCTCAAAAAGGGGACGACGGCCTCCCTGGTGGTGCAAGGGGTTAAGATGTAACCTATGAAGCTGTCCACAGCCACTGCAGCACAAGTTCGATCCCCAGCCAGGGAGCAACCCACATGGCACAGCAGACCTCTCCTGTCTCCCCACTGCTCCCCTCAGCAGTAGATTTCAGTAGATCCTTCTGTTCTGTTCCCCGCTCTGTCTCTGGGGAATCCTCTTGCCCCCTGCATCTCTGGCCTGCACCCCAGTTCTTGTATGCATAAATAAGTAAATCTTTAAAAAAATAAAAATAAATAAATTTAAGGGGAAAAAAAAAAAAGAAAGGGGACAAGAGGGCTCGCAGCCCCAGGGCAGGAAAGTCAAGGCGAACATGTGCACATGAACCCTGCCTTGCGTCAGGACGCCGTGGGGCAGCTCTGGGCACGGGCACCAGCCCCACGACCGCAGAGCAGGGTCAGGTCAGGTTCTGGGACAGAGACCACCTACCTTGTCCTTGGAATTGAGGACAACAGCCTGGGTGTGGGGCACGCGGACCACGTGGTGGTCAAAGCCGGCGGTGGGCAGCCAGACTCGGGCAGGCAGCTTGTGGTTGAGCAGGGAGAGCTCGGAGATGAGCCGCTGCGTTTTCTGCTCCTTGGTGGGGAGCGTAGCCAGCCGCTTGCCGATCGCCATCAGGGACTTGATGAACTCTCGCTCGGGCGCCAGTCTGACAGGCTGTAGGGTTGGTGTGAAGCAAAAGACGGTGAAGAAACCATAGGAGAGGGCGGCTGACCCGCTCAGCCTCTCCTGCCCGCAGGCCCCGCCCGCCCGCCCGCCCGCGCTGGGCCGGGGACAGCACCAGCACGGTCCCTCCAGGCTGACCAGGGTGAGGGGCTGGGAGTCCAGAGCGCGGCGCCCTCCCTCCAGCACGGGAGTTCCTCAGGAACGGCCCAGGGTGCGAGGAGGGTGAGGAACACCCCCCAGGGAGGCTCTCTGGATGCCAGAGGGATGGCCGCTCGCCCTGAGGGCCCTTCACAAGGACAGCGTCCCTCTCCCCACGTGGGTCCTCAGGCAGGGTCTCTGAGGCCCACCAGGCTGAGGAGGGGGCTCTGAGCTAACATCCCCCCCCAGGACAACTCACTTTTCAAATGACTTTCATTGTTTTCATGGCCCCCCCCAACGCCCATGGCCCAGACCCCACGAGGGGCAGCACACATGCAGGGGGGAGAGGGCGGCAGACCGGACACTATGGAGTCATCAACGGGCAGAAGCGGATGGAGGAGGGAGGCAGGGGCGCGGGCGGAGAAGGCAACAGCTGCTCTTGGCCTGGACAGCGGCCCTGGAGGCCTGCCTCTCGCTGTGCTTCCTCCCTGCACCCTCTCTCCCACCTCCCGGGGCTGGGCTCCCGCCAGCACCCTTCTGGGCACTCCCAGGAAGAGCGAGGCAGTCTGGGTGAGGGGTGTGGCAGGAGAGGGCCTCAGCCAGAGGAGCAGGGCTCTCCCCAGGAGGGGCCCTGGCCCAGAGGCCCACCCGGCCCGCCGCCCGCGGTCAGAGCAGCACCTCCTCCTTCTGACAGGAGCAGGAGTTCACTCACCAGCTCTCCCTCTCCCTTCGTGTGTCTTGCTTAGCTTCCTGATTGAGAATTCCTACCCTCATGCCCTCACACTGCAAAAAAGAGCTTCTTTTGGAAGCTGGGCAGAACCAGGCCTACCTCTGCACGTGCGCCAGAGCCAGGGTCAGAGGAACAGCTCACCTCTCACCGCCACCCCACGGGGGCTGGCTCAGGGCTCCCTCACGACGACTCAGGGTGTCTGAGTCAGTCAGGAGTGCTCTGGGGAGCAGGGTTGGAAAGAGATAACAGAAGACAACAGAACCAGGCTCCTGTGCTCCCTGGAAATATCCCAGGGGCCTGGTGGAGAAAAAGGAAGGAAGAAGAAATCTGGAGACCCCTTTCTTCATTGAGGGTGATCCCCGAGCCTTCCTCTCAGGTGGCCAATGGTCACTGTCCCGAGGCCCTGCACCCCCAATCAACGCAGGGCCGCCTCAAACTAGAAAGGCAGGTTCTTCCCTTCCTCCAACCAGCATGTGGGCCGGGGCCCCCCAATTAGGCGAGGGACCGAGGGACGTGACCCTGGCCTCAGAGAGGTCTGCCCGGAGGGAGGGGAGGGCGGCACGACCGGGAGGGGATCAGCACAGAACAGAGGAAACTGATTGCGGAGACAGGAAAAAAAAAAGGTGAAGAATCATCGGAATGCCCAGAGGGTCCAGCATTTCCTCTCACGTCTCTGCCCAGCAACAAGGTCTGGGCCTTTCGGACCGAGGGTCCTGGCTAGTTCAGCGGGAACAAGAGAGGACCCCATCGGGCTGTGAGCGGGGAAGGGAAACCAGGCCGGGAAGAAACGCGGCTGAAGTGAAGAAGAAGCCCTGCGGGGAGGCCAGACTGTCCTTCAGGCCCAACCTGCTCTGCTCCCGCGGGCGCCCCCGCAGGGCCGGCCTGGGAGACGCTGAGCAGAGCTGCGGGCGCCCAGGACGGTGCCGGCGGAGGAGGGGCCTGGCGTTTCTGCCCAGCAGTTCGGGCTCCAGTCCAGGGATCAGTCCTACCGCCCCGACCTTCTGCTCGAGACCTGGCAGGGGGGGCTGGGGCGCCAGCGTCTCCGGGAGGATCAGCCCAGCTGGGGCGGGCACTGGCCTTGGCGACAAAGGGCAGGGGACTCCCCCAGGCCTGGGAGGGGCAGGGTGGCCTCCCAGGAGGAAAAGGCACCTGTTAACTCCAGCCTTGACCCGGGACCCGGGGGTCTGGGGGCCTGGGGACGGAGAGGAAATGCGGCCTTGGGGGAGCCTGCCACCCCGTCCCAGCCTGGCCCCACTTACGGAACTGAACGCATTATCAACACTCTCGGTGCTGGAGGAGAGCTCCTGGGAAAGGCCAGAGGGGCGGGCAGAGGAGGGCAGGGAGGGAGGGAGAGAGACAAAGGCAGAGAATTTAGCGGAACCTGGATGGCTGCTCCTCCGTGTCGCTCCACCTTTCTGCTCTCGGGAAAGAAAGTGCTCCCGGGTGCCGGCCCCCTCCGCGGCTCAGGGCTCCAGGCCAGAGGGCTGAGGGGACGTGGACCTCCTTCTCCCCGCCAGTCCCGGCAAAGCTGGGTCCGTGAGGGGGAAAGCGCCCTGCCAGGCGGCCCTGCCGTCTCTCCTCGCGCGCACACCTTCAAGCAAACCCTTCTCTGAGGAGACCCCCCTGAATGTGACAGCTGCAAGACCCCAGACCGGGAAACCCAGTGGCCGGCAACTTGCGGGGTCCAGCCGGGCCCAGCTCCGACCAGCCCATCCCACCAGGGAAGCCTGAATCTGTGTGACCGGCCCAGACCCCAGGAGAAACCCCCCGCGGGAGGGGCCTGTGGCCGTCCAGGGCCCCGCGGGCGCCCACCACTATTCCCGAAGCTCAACAGATGCTGTCCTCCGACTACGCTGGGGAGCGGGGCCCTCGCTGGCCCATCCGAGGAGATGGAACAGTCGGGCAGCAGCTGTCCGAGTTCAGCACAGAGTGACCTGAGCCTCACCCGGAGCCTCTCTGGCATCTGAGCAGGCGCGGGGGAGGGCTGGCTCGCTTGCGCCCCGCAGCTCCTGCACAAGGCCCCTGCCGGGTTCACCCCCCAAGGCCTCCCAGGGTAGGAGAAGGGACTAGACCAGGCAGGAACCCGCAGGAGGGGTGGGGCCTGGCTCAGAGACAAAGTCCTGGAGCTCCCAGGGCAGAGGGCAGTGGCCCAGTGTCCACATCGCCATCAGCATTTCTTTTTTTCTAAAGATTTATTTTATTTATTAATGCATACAAGAACTGGGGTGCAGGCCAGAGGTGGGGGGGGGGGTGGCGAGAGGACTCACCAGAGACAGAGAGGGGAGCAGCAGGGAGACAGGAGAGGTCTGCTGCCGTGCGGGTAGCTCCCTGGCCGGGATCGAACTCAGGCTGCAGTGGCTGCGGACAGCTTCACAGTGCTGAGGCTTAACCCTTGCGCCACCAGGGAGGCACCCCCACCCCTCATCAGCATTTCAAGCCTCAACTTAGTTGGAGTCTGTGTTTAAATGTGACTCCAGCTGGAGGTCTTTCCAGGGAAATCTGGGGAGAGGGGCACTCTGGGGGAGAAGTCATGCCAAACACTCTCCCCAGGCAACAGCTCTTCTGCCCTGGGTGGAGGGATGAGCCAGAACCCTCTTCCGCTGGGGAGGGGCGGGCTGCAGGAGAACAAGGCCCAAGCCCTTGCTCCCACGGACAGGTCCTGCCTGACTCAGAAGAGCCTGGGGGGAGGGAGGGAGGGAGGGAGAGAGGGCCTGCTCCGCCCTGCTCTGTGGGCTCCAGTCATTCCCACTGAGTCAGTCCCAGCCAAGTGGCTGACATCACGCCCCATTGGGCTGGAAGGCCCAGGGCGCCCAGCACAGCAATTTCTCTGTGCAAAGGTTGCAGCTGGTCTGCCGTGCATGCCAACGTGTGGGGCACAGGTGGCACCCAGGCTGCTCCCCGCACCCCACCCTGTGCCGAAGTCGCCGCTGTCTGGTTACAAATGGGAAGGAAAGCTGCGCAGGCAGAGCCGTTAAAAACCGAAGGGGCGGACTGTGTGGGGGGAGACGGGAGAATGGGGAGCTAGAGCCCTCTGCTCTGCCGAAAAGAACCCCGGATGGGATCCCGCAGGCTGCAAGGAGGAGAGCCCCACAGAGGCGCCTGGGCCCTTCTCTGAGGCCCACTCATCCCCCAGCTCCACGACAGGGGGAGGAGCACAGGCTCAAGCTAAGAGCCCCCAGGAGAGCCAGAGACGGGGAGCGGGGTCTCCCCGGAAACGCTCCTTCCAGAGCCCGCGCTCATCTCAGCTGACTGTGTGAGCAGTTTCAGTAGCCTGCACTACCTCTTTATGTGCAGGAAACAACTTTTCAAGGGTCACGAACCCCACCACAACCCATCAGGACTACTACATCAGTGCTGTCGGGAAGCAAGATCAAGAGTCACAAATAAAGAGCCGCCAAGATAACGGGGTTGCTGCAACACCTTGAAAGCTCCGGGGATGGCGGGAGCCTTCTCCCGGCCGCCTCACCGCCCAAGCACAACCCCATCTGCTGAATGAATAAATGTTGCAAGACCGGCAGAGGAGCCAGCTCTCTTGGCCTCTGCAGACAAGACCCTGGACGGATGACCTCAAGATGCTGCAGGGACTGGGGGAGACCCCTGTGCCGAAGCGCCAGTGCCAGGCCCACTTACTCCCTCTCGCTTCTGCTCTCACGTTTCCCGAGCCCGGGTGGACTCAGGAGTCTCATTCTGCCGCGACGGATGGCCGAGGCGGGCCTGGCCAGAGATCTCCTTCCTCTCCTGGATCTAGTGACCCAGACAAAGGAGCCAGGTTAGGAAGAACAGCAGCTGGAGAAGCTGCCCCGGAGGACAAGCGCTCACAGAGCACCTCCTCACAGTGTCACCCCCAATCCATCCTGGCAGGAGCTGAGTGCAAGAGGAGGGTCGCCCCGAGGCGGCAGAGCTCCTGATCCTAAGACGAGGATGGTGGCGGCGACATCCTCACCGAGAGGAGCCAGACTCTCAGAGAGAAGCCAAGTCTGACAAGAGCTGCCAAGGGATTCACTTCCAGCCATGCCCACTGTTGCTTGACCCCAAGAGGCGCTCCCCAAACCCTTATGACCTTGGTCCCCCAGATCCACATGACTCTCCTCGCTCTGCACGACCCCGGGCTTCTCTGCCCAACTCAACCACCAATGAAATGGCCTGTTCTGGCTCTGCAACAGGAGGGCCCTGCCGCTTCCCCAGAATGATCCCTGAGAGCTGAGGGCCCCAGGGAGCAGATGCCGAGAGCAAAGGGAAGACAGCGCGGCCGAGCCACCAGGAGCCTCAGCTGCGGGCCTGAGGCACGGTCAGACATTCACCAGTTGAGGTACCTGGGCAAACCATCGGGCCTGTTTCCTCAGTGCAAAAGAATCCTGTTTCCTGGGCCAGCGGGAGCCCCTGACGAGATGCCTGGCACAGAGCAAGACGCAATAAATGTGAGCGCTGTTAGCCGCACGTAAGTTACCATGACGTTCCACTGAACCTCCAGGGAGCAGGCTCTGGAGCGTCCTTCCCTGGGCCTCTTCCCTTCCCGGGCGCTCTGACCTCCTTCTTGAAAGTCCCAGTGCATCAGGAATGCGGGAGGGCTACGTGCTCCTCGGAGGCAGAGGCCGGCCCGCCACTACACACATTTTCCAACAAGTGCAAATTCCTTGCTCTTTCCTCGCCTCTTTCGAGGCTGGGCTGGCAGCCAGGATGGGAGCGGGGCTGGGGCGCCAGGTCACAGACACTTGCTTGTGCCCCCGGCAGCCTCCCCTGCTATCCGGTCCCTGCTCCCTGAGCACAATCCAATCCGAGAAGCCCCTCCGGGGCCTTCAAGGTGAGGCCGGGACTGCCCCAGCCAGGCTCCCTCCCACTTCCCTTTGTGCTTGGGGGTGGGAAAGTCACCCAGCAAGGCCCCAAGCCACCGTCCCCCCCCCTGCAAAGGCAGGCCAGGGGGCAGGTGCCTCGGGCAGGCCGGCCGGGGCCACAGGGAGTGAACCTGAGCTGGGTCCACAAGAGTGGGGGCTCTGGGGAGCTGGGGGGGGGCAGCGGGGAGGGCATGAGGAGGCGTGGCTGGGAATAAAGTTGGGGTTTCTATTTAACATCTCCCCCTCCCCAAGCACACAAAATCCCCAAGCACAGTCCCTTTCCCTCCCAGGCTCCTGGCCGGAGAGGTTCTCAGCTGCCTTGTTCTCAGGGCAAGGTGGGGGGCTCCGCCCGGGCCCCCCCGCCAGCAGCTGAGATGGCCGCGCAGCTTAGTAAGGACACCCCAGCCATGCGGCCTGGGGCAAGTCACTGTATCTGCGTCTCAAGTCCTTCGTCTGTGAGGGAGGCAGCTGGGGCAGGGGGCCCTGAGGTCTTTTCCACTCTGACCTCCCGGTGAAATGGAAGAGGGAAGGGAAGAGAAGGAGGGAGAAGCCCGTGAGGGGACCCCGTCGCCGGGCCCCCCAGAAGGGTTACCTCGTCCTCGTGCTCCACTTTCGGGTTGCTGGCTGTGCGCTTCAGGTTGCTGCTGAGGCTGATGCTGGCGGTGGCGTCCGACTTAGAGCGCTGGTGAGTCCTTTTGGAGGGAGACAGCCCCGTGTCCGGCGCCGGGGTCAGGGAGGGCAGCTCCCTCTTCCGGTGAGCGGGCTTCAGCTCATCCGAGAGGATCAGCTTCCGGAGCTTGGTCCCACGGGAGTGTCGCTGCGTGGAAATGTGCATGTCTGAAGAGTAGGCCCCGAGCAACAGGGCGCACTGGAGGGAGAAGTTGATGCTCTGGCGGCACCGGTGGACGATGTAGGGCTTGATGGCGTCGCCCACGTCCTCGTCCATGTGGATGTACATGTTAAGCAACTGAGGCAGGTAGAAGTCCACGTCCTCATTCCGAAAGCAGAAGAGCCGGTTGCCGATGTAGGCCTGCACGCCGGGCTCCTTGGAGTTGTACAGGTACGAAATGGCCATGGAGATGTCGAACAGTTTGGACTCGAACAGCCTCAGCAGCCAAGACTGCTTGGCCGAGTTGTTCTGCCGCCGCCTTCTTGCTCCCTTGGCTGTGCCCGAGGCCACCGCGGCCCCCACCTCGTCTTCCTCCTCCCGTATCTGGGCAGGTGGGTCGTCCAGGCACCGGATCTCACTGTCCGCGCCCTCCCCGTTGAGCAGCCCCAGCGGGGCGCCCCCGTGCAGCAGCTTGACTTTCTGCAGCACCTCCTGGCAGGCTTTCTGCGCCACCTCAGGGTCGATCACCGACAGCTCCCCGACCCCCTCCGAGATGACGCTGAGCAAGGAGCCCCCATTGTTCCCTGGTGGGCCAGGAGAGGGCTCAGAAGTGGGCGTCAGGGAGGCAGGCTCCACCGCCGTGTCTCCCATGGCCACAGCCAGACTTCGTGCTTGCGAACTGGAGGAGGGAAGGGACAGAGAGGGAGACGCTGTTAGTGGGGCATCCTCAGACGTCCCCTCTGCCCGGACACCTCCTCTTTGTCTTCCCAGACGCCTTCAAGCTCAGATGAGGAGGGCCCTCCCTCCCAGGCAGCTCCCCTCCCACCCCATGACGCTTCCTCCCCACAGCACCGGCTCCCGCTCCGTTTCGTCCACGCCCGCGTGTCCTCGCACAGCGCCATTCTGCACGTGCACAGATTCCTCAGGTAGACAGGGACGCGATTCTGATTCTGCAAGTGCTTTTCTACCTGTGCGCTCCCTGCTCGTCTCCCTTTCAATGCCCACCAACAGCCTTTTCTTCTCCTCTTTAAACCGTATTTCCTACCACATTGCACTCCACACACAAGTTCTGAGCCTCTCGCCTGATTTAGTATTAAAGTCTGCTACAGGTTACTTTCATCCCTGGTAGACTCAGAGGTCCCAGGAGTAAAGGGCTGCAACGCCATGGCAGGCTGCGTTTAGGAGAGAAGAGCTAAGCAGGTGCTGGCAGCCCCGCTGAAGGGGTGCGGGTTTCCAGGGTGCCGCGCCCAGCCCCATAGCGCCCAATGCCTAATGGCGGGTCCTGGGCATGGAGATGCGGTGGCTGGGCTGCAAAACCCTGGCTCTGCCATTACAAGCCGTGTCAACTTATGCAAGTCATGCGCCTTCTGCATTTCAGGTTCCTCGACTGCAAGGTGGGTTTGAAAACACACCTACTTCTCGGGCCTCCCTGGGAGCGCAAGGGGTTAAGACGCAGCCTATGAAGCTGTCCGCAGCCTCTGCAGCACGAGTTCAATTCCCAACCAGGGAACCACCCACATGGTACAGCAGACCTCTCCTGTCTCCCCGCTGCTCCCCTCAGCAGCGTATTTCAGTCAGTCTGCCTGTTCTGTTCCCTGCTCTGTCTCTGGTGGATCCTCTCACCCTCCTGCACATCTAGCCTGTACCCCAGTTCTTGTATGCATAGATAAATCTTTAAAAAAAAAAAACCTACTTCTCACTGTTGCCACACACTGTGTGACGTCACGTGCACGAGAGGGTCTCGCACATCCTAGTGCTCGCCAAACGCAGCTGAGTCCTAATCGTCTGAAGCGTGGTGAGCTGCGCGCGTGCACAACTGTCCACAGGGGGAGCGTATTATAATCAGTACCTCATGTTTGAGAACTTGAGCATCTACAGCAGCCTCTCCGCCACCAGCACCGCTCCCCTTATCATACACGCACCCCAGGAACTGGGGGATTGGGAGAAGGCACAAAGGCTAGAACTCATGGGTCTAGAATGCAGAAGAACAGGGAGGAACAGGAGCCATGTAATTAAGAATCGCTCTCTGGAGGGATTCTCAGAAGGAAATTTCATGAGAGAACACTGCTAACAAAAGCCACGGGCCTGCTAGAACTATTTGAGAGCCTTACCAAGTCCAGGTCACGAGCAACCGTGCGGAATAGGAGGGCATTTCAAAGCAAGGCCTAGGAGAGGCGCACTGTTCACACCAGAGGCTGGTCCCCAACGCGCAAACAGCGTGCGTCCAGGCTTGGCGAGCACGAGGGAGAGGAAGGCAGGGCTGCGGCAGAGCTGGAAGGCGGGCAATTTCCAACTTCTGACTATTTCCACTTTGTCTCCCTGAACCTGAGTACCTGCACTCTGGGGAGGTGGAAGGAGGCCCAAGATGCAGATTCTCTGACCAGCCTGGGAAGCCCCGTTTTCCACGGCCCCCTCCCTTCCAGGGCCTCCTCTCGCACCTCTGGAATGGTGGAAGGGCAAGCTGGCTTTGATCTGCCTGATCCGAGATAGCCCAGCTCCCCGCCCGTTCTCAGAGATCACCGAAAAAGGCCACTTCAGTTTGTCTTTCTCCCAAATCTGTCAAGAAAGACGTTCATCCCTGAGTTTAATTTCCCGCATCAGTAAAAAGGTGGAAACACTCCCGGCTGGTCTCCCCAGTGAGGCAGTGCCCTTTGTGCCTTCTATGTGCTCTGTCCCTACTTGCAACTCTGGGCTGCACAGGAGGAAAAAGGAAGCTGCCACCGTCACCTCCACAGGGCCTCTGCGCAACGCGGCCACCCTCCTTCTCCTGCGAGCACTGCCTGCTCAGGCCGCTCAGCAACTCTCGCCCGCAGCCTCAGCCGCCGCCCGGAACCGCCTCTTCTTTCTCAGCCGCTCCATGCCCGGCACATCTTTCCCTTCCCCTCTACTCCAGACACTTCCCGGTCACCAAAACCCCTACAAGATCATTTGCAGAGTCTCCCAAGGGAGACGTCAAAGGGCGCAGGAGAGCCAGGCCTCTCTCCTACAGACCAGTTCTCCCACAGAAATCACCAAACTGGAGCGTAAACCCTGCCCCCTCCCCAGCGTCAGGGCCTACCTGCATCTGACTCAAGGCATGGGGCTGACAGGGAGGTCTTGCCAATTTAGACAGTAACAAATAGGAAAGGAGCCTCCCTGGTAGCACAGGGGTTAGACGCGCTATGAAGCTATCAGCAGCCACTGCTGCACGAGTTCCATCCCCAGCCAGGGAGCTGCCCACATGGCGCAGCAGACCTCTCCTGTCTCCCCGCTGCTCCCCTCAGCAGTGTGTTTCAGTCAGTCTGCCTGTTCTGCTCCCCGCTCTGTCTCTGGTGGATCCTCTCCCCTCTGCATCTCTGGTCTACACACCAATTCTTGTATGCATAAATAAATAAATCTTAAAAAAAGTAAATAACAGGATTCTTTAAAACCTAAATCCAGATATGGTCCTCAACATGAATTCACTGATTTTCAAATGCAAAGAAAATACAGTTTTGATAAACTAGTCTAAAGAAAGCAAAAGAGGGCCTTCCTGGTGGCCTGGGGTTAAGTCTCAACACTAGCACCGCGATGACCTGAGTTCGATCCCCGTCCAGGGAGCTGACCCACAGGGCACAGCACACCTCTCTGGTCTCCCCATTGCTCCCCTCAGCAGTGTATTTCAGTAGATCTGCCTGTTCTGCTCCCCGCTCTGTCTCTGGTGGATTGTCTCACCTCCCTGCACCTCTGCCTACACCCCAACTCTTCTATGCAAAAATAAATAAAATCTTAAAAAAAAAAATAGAAAGCAAACAAAGGAATAGGTCCCTATCTCCTTTTAAGTCATAGAAAAAGAGAAGAAAATCCAAGCCTTTGGTATCAGAGGATTCCTGTTTTTCCCAAGGATTTTCAAACAACGGTCTACCTCTCGCTCTGGGAGCTCACATTGGCCTTGCAGTGAGACTGGAGGGAACGGAAGCCTCTCCTAGCATAGCTGCCCAGCCGGCTGCTAGCAAAGTAGGTGGTGGGAGCCGGCAGTGTAGACAACTGACTGGGTGCCACCGCTCATGTGGGAACCCCTGTCTGATTATCAGGGAAGAGCAGAGCCGAGCACAGAGGACATACAGGGTTTATACACACGTGTTCATTTAAGAAGGCGCTTTCCGGAAGAGACTCCTCACCATCGACACCTGTTCCCCGCGTGTCACGCGGTCCAACTCAAGCCTCTCTGTAAGGTCCCAGGCCGTCTCCCCCCAGCCTCGATGGCGCTGGTGGAGTGAGCAGCACTTTTTCTGTGGAGAAGCCCAGGGTCAAGCAGACAAGGAAGCTCAAGCCCATCAGGAACCAGACAAAGCTTGCCCAAGCCTGGGGGGGGGGGGCGGGCACGGGGAGAGGGCAGCTCGAATGACTGGCAGGAGGGAGGGCAGCGGTCTCAGGGTAGGCAAGTCAACCTTGAATCAGGCTGTGAACTCCACGGGGCCAGGGAACCAGGACGAGCAGATTCCAGCCAGACGGCTCCAGTCTGCTCTGAGAACTCTGCTCATTCTGAAGGGCAACCCGTGCTGGCCACCTCTCAGCCGCTTTATCCCCTCAGCCAACCCCAAACACACTAGATGGAGGCGCTCTCCTTGTGCGAAGTACTGAAAGGTTCCTCCCAAACTCCTTCCCTGAATCCAAGATTCCCAACTCACTGCTTTGGGTGCTTTCCCACATGTTCTCATGCGGTGCGGACAGCTCTGAGAAGGAAGCAGGGAAGTAGTAGTGTTATAGGACAGGGAGAGGGGTAGCCCTTGGGGCAGGGAACCTCCCCCTTTCCTGGGGACCACCCTGTTACAGTAGAAACATGATTTCTCTTCAGGGGTGCTTCCCAGGAGTGAAGCTTCCCCTAAAAAGGGGGACTATGAGGCGTGCACTCTGGCTAATGAGGAGGAAGACGTGGAGAGCGGGACAAGGCAGCGTGATCATTTTCAAAAAGGCCTAGAGTCAGAAAATGAGTGGCAGTTCACGTGTCTTCTTCGCCGTCACAGGACAAGAAAGAGACGTGGCCCACGAGGGAGGAACCAGCTTCCCAAGTCCCAACTCATTCCAAGCTGTCTCTCCCAGCCAGGTCGTAAGGGGCTCCCCCCCAAACATACTTTGGGTGGACAGCATCTGGAACAACGCAGCAAGTACAAGAGCAACAGCCCAGGGCCAGCAACCTAACTGGGGGGCGGGGCAAGACAGAGAAAGAAGTGGGCCTAGAAGTTTCTTTGAGATCACCTTATTGGCATGGCTGTAGGCCACAAAGACCCAACAGAGAGACCACAATGAAGGGAATTTCTTAGGACAACTAAATCAGTACTAATCAACACTTTTTATCTCAGCAGCCCACAGTGTTTTGTACACAAATAAACCAAAGGCAACTGTGCCCCCACCCCACATCCTGCTACTGGCCCACTCCCCCCTGATGCCTTCGGAGCAGGCCTGTCCCCGAAAGGTCGCTCCAGAGGTCAAGGGAGGGAGTGACAGGAGTCGGAAGGAGGGGGGGGGTTCTGCCTGTACCAGCCCTTCCCGCTGCGCCCCCCTTGTCCTTCCCAGTTACCCCCACGCCCACCCCAGGCCTAGGCGCTAGCGGACCCCACCAAAGCTGCCCTAAAAAGCCAGCGGCAAGCGCCTTCCTCTTAAACTTGGACAGAGGCGGGAAAACGCTGAGATCCCTTTAAGAAAAACCCAAAGTTGAATAATCCCGAGCAGAACTTCGGGCCTGCCGCCCCTCCCGAGCGGCCAAAGCGCCTCGTCCCCCAGACACCGTCCAGGGACGCCCGGGAGGCATCTGGGCCCTCCCCCGGCACACTCTGCAAGGGCTAGTGATCCTCAAGCGGCGTGCGACGGAAAGGGGGGCAGGCCGGGGTGCGGGCCGCGGGGGGCGCGCGCCGAGCGCCCCGAGGGCTGGGAAGGCCCCGGGAAGTCCAGGGACGCCCGTCCGGCCGGGGGGCGCCGGCCGCCGCGCTCTCTCCGGGAACAAAGCCCCGGGGCTGAGGAGGGGAAAAGTGACTAAACAAAGTTACGGGTCACCAGGCGCTCCCGGCCGGGGCGCCGAGGCGGGGAGCCCCGGGCGGCGCTGAGGTCATGGAATCAGGCGGCTCGGGCTCGGGCTCGGGCGCCGGGCGCGGGGAGGCGGCGGGCGACGCCGGGCCGGGGGCGGCGCAGGAGGGGGACACAGGCGGAGCCCGCGGGGGCGCCGGGCCGCCGAGGGGGCGCCGCCGCGGGCCCGGGCCCGCAGGAACAGCCGGGATGGGGCGCGCGGGAGCGGGAGGGAATCCCCGGCGGAGGGCGGAGCCAAGCAGAAGAGGAAGCCAAAAAGCGCAGGAGGACCCCGGGCCCGAGGGGGGGCCGGGAAAGTCGGGGTGCAGCTGCCACCCGAGGGCAGTTTGGTGGTCGAGCCCGGGTGGGGGTGGGGCGGGCGGCTGCGCGGGGCGGGGCGGGAGCGGGGACCCCGCGCCGGGGGAGGGGCGCTCCCGGGGCCGGGCCGCCTACCTCCGGGGCCCCTCGGAGGGGGTGCGGGCGGCCGGGCGGGTCCGACGCCGCCGCCTCAGCAGCAGCGGCCGCTCCCGGGCTCCATGGGCCGCCGGCGCTTCCCTGACAGCGGCCGCGGCGGCGGCTCCAGGCCCTGCTGCGGGGCTGCCCTCGGCGCCGCCTGCGGGGCCTTCGCTCGGCGTCAAGTTCGCCCGCGCCGCGCGGTCGCCTCTGGCCCCTCGGCACGGCCGCGACGCGCGGGGGACGCCCGGCGGGTGCCGGCGCCCTCGGAGCCCAGCCTCGCCTCCCGGTGCGCGCTCGGCGTCCCGGCGCTCAGGCCCCGGCCGAGCCCAGCGCGGTCCGAGCCGGAGCTGCCCGCGCCGCGCCTGCTCAGAAATAGGCGGGGGCGGGGCGGGGCCGCCACGGGGGGCGGGGCCGCCACGGGGGGCGGGGCGGCCAACCTTCGCGGGGGCCGCCCGGCTCCGCCCTCCGCGGGCGCCCGGGGAGGTGCTGCCCGAGGGTGCGGGGCGCCCCTGGGCCGTGCGCGGCCGGCGGACGCGGGTGCCGGCCAGAGGAGACCCGAGACGCGGCCCTCGGGCGTGCAGCTGCGTGGCTGAGCCCGTCGAGGGCGCGAGCGCCCGGCGTCCCCCAGCCGGGCCCCCGCCCGCGCCTCGGCCCTCGGGCTCCCGCCGGCGGGGGCGGCGGGGGCTGGACGGGGTGGGGGAGGGGGCGGGGCCCACAGGGACGGGGCGGGGACGGGGCGGGCCGGTGTGGGCGGGGCCGGGCTGGCGGGGCCGCCCCGCGCCGACTCCGCCTGCGGACGACGCCGCCGCGCGCCCCCGCGCGGGTGGGAGACGCGGCCCCACCGCATCCCCGCGGCGTCCGCGGCGCTCCTCGAGGTCGCGGCCCGGCCCCGAGGTCACCGCCGGTCGGGCCGGGCCGGGCCGGGCCGGGCCGTCGAGGGCGCGGGCGGGGGCGCGAGGGCCGCGGGGCGCCGGGACCGAGCCCCCCGCGGCCCAGGCGGCCGGGGTTGAGCACGAAGCCGCGGGACGCCGGCCGCCGCCGCGCGTGGGGGCGCCTCGCGGGACCCCCGGCAGCGCGAGCCGCTGTCCAGGGCTCCTCGCTGGGCGCCCCGGGGCGGCCGTGTGGCCCGATCTTGGCCCCCAGCCAGCCAGAGGCTGAGCGGCGTGGCTGAGCGTCAGCGCCGCACCCGCAGTTCCGCGCCTGCGAGCGCGAGCCCCGGAGCGGGCGCGCGGGGCCGGCCAGGCCCTGGGGCGCCGGGGGGCAGCGCGGGGAGCCGGAAGAGCCGCTGCCCGTGTTCGGCCGGAAGCGCCTCCGGGAGCGCCGGGCCGCGGGCCGCCGCGGACAGAGCCTGCGGGCCGCGGAGGAGGACGCGGGGCGGCGGCGGGGCGGCCCGGCCGTGCGGTGAGTGCGCGGGGCGGCGGCGGACCTCCCGGAGCTCCCGGGCCGGGGCGGAGAGGCCAGGCGGGACCCGGCCCGGCGGCGCCGTCTGGAGGCTGAGAGGCGGAAATCGAGGAGAGACGGGAACGGACTGAAGTGGGAGCGCGGCGGGAAGGGGGGTGCGGGAGGGGGGCGCCGGGGAGCGTCCGCCCGTCGCCCCTCTGCTGCCGGCCGGCGTCGGGAGGTGGCCCCTCGGCCCCCCTCGAGGAAGAAACGCCGCCCAGACACCCCGCGGGCGGCCCGGGGGCGGCGGGACTGGTTCTGAGACCCGGCAGAGATGTGGCAGCCCCGCTTTTTTGTACTAGGGAGTTTCTGATTTTCCAGTGACCAGAAAAAGCAAGATTTCAGCAATGTCTCTGTTTAGACCTTCAGTAGGGTTTTTTTTTAACAGGTTCCGCAGTTCTGAGCCCTTTGTTAGTCACGGGAGACCAGGGGAGAGGAGCCCGGGTGTATCACTCGACGGGCTCATGGGGGTGCATTTCTCTGCATCTTTTCTCGGCTGTCCTTCTGGAGTGTGGTGGTGTTGCTTGTTACCCTGTTTCTTTTTTTTTTCCTTCTTCTTTTTTAAGATTTGTTTATCTATTTACACAAGTACTGGGTACAGTCAGAAGCGCGGGAGGGTGAGAGGATCCACCAGAGCCAGAGCGGGGAGCAGAGCAGGCAGAGGGACCGAAGTACACTGCTGAGGGGAGCAGCGGGCGGCAGGAGAGGTCTGTGCGCCGTGTGGGAGCCTCGCCCGGTGGCCGGGGAGCAGCCGGGGATCGAACCCGCGCTGCAGAGGCTGCGGGCAGCTTCGCCACCACCGGGGAGGCCCAGCATGTTACATTTTAAACATCCCTGTGGTTAAAGAAATTAAAGAGTGATTTCCCCCCCTTACCCCCACTCCTAGATATTTTTGGCTTTTTCCCCCCAAGGAAAAAGGTAGCAGTTACTGCTCCAACCCCACTGTGTGTCACTACCTTACTTACTCATTACCATCCTGTGCAAGGATGTTACCCCTTTGTGTCATTTTATGGAAACTGAGCTCCTGTCTTCTTTTTTTTTTGAAAAAAAAATTTTTTTTGAAGATTTATTTATTGTATTTATACAAGAACCGGGGTACAGGCCAGATGCACGGGAGGGTGAGAGGACTCACCAGAGACAGAGCGGGTAGCGGAACAGGCAGGCTGATGAAATCCACTGCTGAGGGGAGCAGCAGGGAGACAGGAGAGGTCTGCTGTGCCCTGTGGGTAGCTCCCTGGCTGGGGATTGAACTCGTGCTGCAATAATGGTTCCTTGGCAAGGCCTGCGCCTTCATCCGGGTCATCGTGCTGCCTCCCGTGATGCGATGAAGCCAAGCCTCACACACATACACGGCGCAGTATTTCTTAAATGTTCATGAGGGGATATTTGTTTACTGGAGAGAATATAAATTAGGTTCGAATTTTAACTTTACCAAGCTGGACCGCACGGCCTGAGCAGCTTTCCTGGCTGTTCCACCGCAGATGACAGCTCAGTGGCTGGGAATGACTCAGCCGGATGCAGAAGGGTTTTAGGGACACTAACCTCCTGTGCAGTACGTGCATGAGTGTGGCATTTGCGTTGATTTCTAAAGAAAGTTGATTTTGAACCATAGGAATAAACAAATTCATTTATTTAGGATCACAAACTAGATGAGTTTTTCTTGGATTAATAGCAAGATTTCAAATTTTAGTATATTATAAATTATTTTTAACTTCACTTATAGGAAAGAAAATTAAAAAGAATATAGTGTGGGGGAGGGAAGGGAGGAGGGGAAGTGGAGCCGGAGGGAATACGGAAGAGCGGCCGTCAGTGCTCAGTGCCTCAAGTCCCAGCTCGGCCTTTCCTCTAGTAACCTGGAGCTTGAGCTACAGCAGAGTAACTTGTTTCTTGTGAGACTTTTTAAACAGGGAACATTTTAAAAAGAGGCCTTTTAGTAATATTCACGCAATTCTCAGAATCAGCCCATGGCTAGCCTCCCCGGAAAGGTACCTGTTCCCACACCCAGCCCGTGAGGACGCGCTTCCTGGGCGTTTCCACCCACGGCCAGCGGCGTCTTCATCCCTGAGGGCCTGGTGCATCAGCAGCCTGGTTTCGGGCAAACGGATGGTGACCAAGGCAGACGGCTCCCTTTGACTCCAGTGCCCCGTCACAAGGGCAAACTCCAGAGCTTTCTTCCACTCGCTCACTCAATCTGCAGATGACATAAGGGCTGTGTCCTCACTGCCTGGCGCTGCTGTTTATCACGCTGCGCCTGCCTCGCAGGTGTTTCTCGGGGCGCGGTCCTCTCTCTCTGCTTCCACCCCGCATCCCCGAGCCTCTGCTGTCCCTGGAATGCCTTCCTAGCCACCCTCTGCTTACCTTACGGGTGGGACTTAAGCCTGCCTTTCCCAGGAAACCTTCCCAAATTACTCAGCCCAAAGCACATTCTTGGAATCTGCAGCTCTTCTGCGATGAAACGAGCACCGCGAGTCCATCCTTCTCCTGTGTCTCATGTTGCGCTGTCCTGGCTTCATGGTGCAGACTCACCCAGTCAACTCTGACCCCCTCCCCTGGGCATTCACACACCCCCCCCCCGCCCCACCTGCTATTCCTCTTGGTGCCCATGCTGTGCTAGTTGTCTGTGCTTGTCACTAACAAGGCACTGCCCTGATGGGCACTGCATTACAGTCTGTGTCAGCCCGCTCCTAGCCAGCGCCTTGCGCTTAAAAAACAAGAGGGATGGGCCTCCCCGGTGGCGCAGCGGTTGAGCGCTGGGTTGCGAAGCTGCCCGCGGCCTCTGCGGCGCCGGTTCGATCCCCGGCTGCTCCCCGGCCACCGGAGGAGGGTCCCACATGGCGCGCAGACCTCTCCTGCCGCCCGCTGCTCCCCTCAGCAGTGTGCTTCGGTCCTTCTGCCTGCTCTGCTCCCCGCTCTGACTCTGGTGAATTCTCTCACTCTCCCGCGCTTCTGACTGTACCCAGTGCATGTATAAACAAAACAAACAAACAAACCAGCAAACAAATAAATAAAGCATGCCTCTATTAAAAAAAAAAAAAAAAAAAAACAAGAGGGACCACATCAAAACCACAGTGATGGACTCCCACTTCTGGCAACGTGGATATGAAAAGGGCTTGCCCATTAAAATACAACTAGATTTGAGACAAGTCACAGCAAACAATTCTCAGCCTATTGCTGGGAATAGAAAGGGGAATCACTAAAGGAAAGGAAACAGAACTGAAACCGAGCGAAGGATGAACGACAAGTACTAGGAAAAAGCAGGTTTGTCCTGGAGAGCAGCTAAGCCCTGGGCCCAAGCAGAGCAGGGGAAGATGCTTGGGACCACTGAATTGAACTTGGACTCTTGGCGGGGGGCGGCTAACTGCACTAGGTCAGAGCACCCCATGGCTCCTGCCGGAAGCAGATGCAAATCTGCACTAGAGGGAAGTGCCCCCCACTCGGGCCCTCTGGATTCCACGGGTTAAGTTCAGCAAAATATGGGCGCAAAATCTAAACCCATGAAGTATACACAGAAACAAGCTGCCGCAGGCAGGGGTCAGCAGAACCCAAAAAACAGATTTAGACATCTGAGATAAGCTACAGATGTAACATAAAACCCCAACAAATTGCAGATTTGGGGCCTCCCCTGGTGGCGCAGCTGTTGAGCCCACAGCCTCTGCAGTGCCCGTTTGATCCCCGGCCACCAGTGAAGGTCCCACATGGCGCACAGACCTCTCCTGCCGCCCACTGCTCCCCTCAGCAGTGTACTTCGTCAGTCTGCCTGTTCTGCTCCCCACTCTGGCTCTGGTGAATTCTCTCACCCTCCAGCACTTCTGATTGTACCCAGTGCTTGTATAAATAAATAAATATTTAAAAAGAATTGCAGATTTGGCCTCATGCAGACTCCATTCTCTGAACACAAGTATTAAGTTAGAAATCAGTGTCAAAAAGATAAAATTTTAGATATCCAGACATTTGGAAATTTATAACACTTCTCTAAATAGTACATGAGTCAAAAAAGTCATAAAGGTAATTTAAAAACTTAAAAGTAACTGACTTGGGGAATACAGAGACACAGAGTCCTTGAAAACTCACAATTGGGAGAAGGCTGAAAATCAGATGTGTCGAAACTAAGTTGTAAGGACATAAAATGTAAACCCAACCTAGGAGGAGAGATACTACAGGTATCATCCATAATTAGTGAAATGGAAGCAAACATTTGTGTTTCCCACAAAGGAACACCAGGTCAGAGGGGATAACAGGCGTTTCACCAAACTTTCAAAGGATGGTTCACGTCAAACTCCACGCGCGCTCCCGGAGAGTAAGGTGCAGAGGGTATACTGACCGAAAGATGCATCCTAGAAAGCGTGGTAGAAACCTCATTAGGAGCAAAGGCACTAACACTAGGACATTCGGAGCAGCATCATGGTTAGCAGCAAAACCTGGAAAACCGTGTCCGCCAACATAGTGGGGGCTTGTGATTCACGCGCCTGGTGGGACCACGCAGGAGCCACAGCTCCCCGTGCACCGTGGAGAAGCCCACGGGAAAAGGTGTTCAGTGGGAACAAAGCAAATTGCAGGGCTGAGTAGAGAGTAACGTTTTGTAATAGAAAGCAAAACTGAACAGAGCCGTTTCCAGGGACACAGATAGAGGCCGGCACGTAACACACTCCCAGCTAAGGCCGCGTCACACTGGGCAGAGGCGGGCGCAGGAGGAACACGCCAACAACGTCATTTCTGATGTTTTAATGGGTAAGTAGGAGGTGGGTCAAAGGAACTCATTTCATTATCACACTTCATAACTTATCCATGTTAAATATAGTCTTTATAGATATCAAATATTACATATTATACTTTAAAAAATCTGCCATGGTGGAAATCGATGAACAAGTGAACAAAGTCTCCTTGAAGGGAAACCTGCCTCTCTTAGGAAGAACCAAGACTCCCAGACAGGCTGCTGTGCGGGTGGCGGGCAGGCCCTCCACGGACAGCGGCTGCTTGGCTGTTTCCGGGGACACACCTGGAGGGCCCAGGCCCACTTCCCATACAAGGCTACCTCCCCCTCCCGCGCACCCACACACCTAGGGGACCCGTGGCGCGGCTCAGTCCTGACACCCGGTGGAGGCAGGAGGAATTCAGTGAGCCGCTAGGCGTCTCACCTCAACACCTGGGGGTCGGGGAGCAAGAGGCAGAGGAAACAGATTCAGAAACAGAGCGAGGGCTGAGCTCCCCCTCTGCGGTGTGGGCAAAGAAGCGTGGGCTGTCATGTGAGACTGAAGCGATAGCCCCTAAAGGAATGACCCCGTTCCTTCTGAGGCTAAAACAGGCGGGAAGAGGTTGCAGCCACGGGGAAGCGTGAGGCTGAGAGGGGAGCAGAAGCCGCGGTAGGGACCTCAGCCCAGCTGCCCACTGCCTCCCTGCTGCCACCTGGGGACTGCAGGACTTCTGAGGAGGCTGATGCCACCCTTCTCCCCAAAGGTGCACTCCGTGATGCAGACCAAGCAAATCAGCATATGCCGTCCTCCTGATGGTGACTGGCTAGGGCTGGCCATGTGACCCGGGCCGGCCTCACCGGAGCGGATCTGGGGCCTCTGGTAGAACTTCTGGCACAATGCTGCCCTCTTTCTGCTTGGACGCACACGGGGAAACTCATAATCCTAGGAGGGCAGGCCCAGGCTGCAGGTGCTCCCACAGAGAGAGGAGCAGGGGTCAGCAGTCAGTCAGGTCTCCAGAGGCGCAGCCATGAGGCTGAGGTCAGCCTCAGCCGCGCCAGCACTACCTCTAGACTGTCCGGCTCCATGAGCCGGTCTTTTTCTTAGCCAGTCCGCGCTAGGCTTTCTATGATTCGAAACCAAAACACTCCTAACCTGTACATTCATCACACTTACTCCATCCCTGTCTTCCACAGGACAGCACAGGGACGCAGGTAAGAAGGTCACTGCAAGGTGACTAAAGCCAAAGGGAGTGAGCTAGAAAGGTCAGAAGCAGGAAGCAGGCACTGGGGAAGCTGGGGCGCCCCAGCTATCTATGCAGAAGGAACCCCGCAGTGAAGAGCCAAGTAAAGCAGGTGTGGAGGGGCCTGGACAAGGCAGACACGTAGTTAACACACGAAAGACGCGCTCCCCACGCACCCTCACGGAGGTGTTGCTTTGAGGTCTTTCCGCTCGCGGGGTGGGGAGGTCTGAAGCGCGTGCCCCTTTGAGTCCTTATTACCCTGTGCTGCCATGTCTGCCTCTCCCTTTCCCAAATGAAGAGCCTCCTTTTGGCTTCTACAGCCCTTGATGACACTGACTTTTAGGGACACAACAGGCATTTTATCTTCTGTTTCTTTGGCATGGCGGGAGCTGGGGCCCCTTCCGCCTCTGGAAGCAGCGCCATCCTCCTGCCCCAGGGCCAGCACCATGCCCTCCTCAGCCCCCCGCGCGGGCCCTGGCCTCTCTGTGCCTCCGGCCGCGTCACCGGCCCCCCCTGAGGCCCACGTCTGCCGTGGGAACCTTGAGGACTGGGCAGAGTCCATGACAGCCGCTGGCTTGTCGGGGGTAGAATTTCTTTCCTTGCTTCCACCGGACTTTTTCCGGGGTCGCCCCCTTTTCCTTTTGGTCTCACTTCCTGCATCCTCTGTCTCCTGCTTTGCTGCTTTAACTGGCGGGTCCTGCCCGCTGGCCTCGCTCACAAGCACTTCAGCTGTCCGCTTGACCCCCTTATCGTGGGGTCCTGGGTCAGCACCTAGGCCCACCTCCCTGTTCTCCGTGCCCTGTGGCTGAGTGAGCCCCCCAGGGGGAACCCGCCCGTGCCCCGGCCCCGGCAAAGCAGAAACAGCTGGCAAGATCATGTTGATAATGGGCATGGGCGCCTGGGGGCCCCCAGCCCTCGTGGGCAGAGGCAGCGCAGCGACTTTCAGGGTGCCTGAAGACAGCTTGGGGGCCAGGATGGGCGGGGAGACTCGGATGGGGGGCACGAGTGAGCGAGGGGCCCGGGGCAGGAGCGGCGGCAGCCGGGCCACCAGGGCGGTGACCTGCGGGTTGCTGGCCGCGGGTGCTGGGCTCTCAGCCGGGCTCTTCTTCCGCTCTCCGCGTGCTGGGGGGCCGGCCCCTGCCCGGGGCTCCAGCTCCTTGGGAGACTAGAAGATAGAGAGGACTGGTAAGCGGAGATGGGGCGCTGGTGGGAAGAGCAACCGCGGCAGCAGCCCTCACCTGCGTGGGTCTCTCCGGCCTGCGGTGGGCCGCGCCCTCTAGGCTCTCCACTCCGTTCCTGGCCTTGGACACGCGCTCCCGGGGGGCGTGCTCATCCTCTTCTGCAGAGAGGCCGGGAAAAGTGTCAGTGAGGGCGAGGAGGAGGGCGCAGAGGAGGGGGTGGCGCTGCCTGCGCCGACAGAGGTGGGGAAAGAGCAATGCGGGGCACGTCCTAGGAGAGTCTCCAAGGACAGAAGGCGTCTCCATTCTGGCCTGTGGGAGGGCCTGTGAGGTGGAAGGGTGAGGGTTTCTTGGGTTTCTCGGGCGGAGGCACCCACCAGCAAGCCCCACGGCCTTGAGCACGTTGGCGTGTGTGGACCGGGCGGAGATGAGGTGCTGCTGCAGCAGGAAGCGCGCCACCTCCACGATGGAGCTGAAGGAGCGCTTCAGGATCCGCTCGGCCCAGTCGCAGGTCAGGGCGCAGGCCGCCTCCACCACCTCGTCCCGGGGCGCCGGGGTGACCTCAGGGCCCATTTCTGGCTGGAGTGAAGAACGTGGCCCATCACCCGGCAAACCAAAGAACCCCTGCCGCCCTCGACAACGCCGCCCACACAGCTGAGACTGGGATGGGTGGGAGCGGCCGGCAGAAGGACCGCCCTGTACCCAGAGGCTGTGCTCAACAACCAGGGCCTCCCAAGAGCCCCCAGCCCTCCCGCCACCGTGAGGAGCAACTGGCAACCGGAAGTTGTCACTTACACTGTCAGAGCCCTTCAGGTCAAGTCCGGGCAAGGGAGGCATGGACACCAAGGTCTTCCTTCGAATGCCACTATAGCAGTATCTGCTTTGGGTTAAGGGGCAGCCAACACGGGGTCTCCGAGCCCACTGGGAAGCCAGGCGGCTCAACGCCTGCTGTCCACACACCAAGTCAGCCTCCCCAGCCCCGCGCCCTAGCCTCCCCAGTCAAGGATACTTGGACTGGCCCCGGCCACCAAGCCTTCGGGCCTTGATGTCAGGGAAGATCTCTCTGATGATTTTGCCAAAGTTGGCTGTGCTGAGGGGGCGGCAACAGGCGAGGCTCTCACAGTACTTCCTGCATGAAGTGGGGAGAGTGGGGAGCTGCTCAGAGTTGGCGGCCATGGGTGGCCCCCTGGGCCCCTGGAGACCTGTTTGGGGAGCCCCTGGAGCAGCACGGCTCCTGGAGGCAGGAAGCGCCCGCCAGCCCCGCCTACCCACCGGTAGGCATCGTAAACGCTCTGCTTGGGCAGGCAGGTGTCGGTGTGCTCCTCCAGGTGGTTGCGGATCCACCTGCAGGCGTGCATGTACTCCTCGTTGCTGAGCGTGCTGGGCTCCGAACTGCAAGGCAAGAAAAAGGGCCCAGTGTGACCGAGGCCCAGCGTCCTCCTGGCTCTCTCCAGGCCACCCTGCGGCAGTGCCAGCCGTGGGCTCAAAGCAGCCACCCTCCCGGGGCTGCGGTGGGATGGCCTGTCGCCTGCGGCCAGGGCAGTGGTGAGGACCCCCACTCACTGCCCCTTCCCTGTGAACCTGGCTTTGAGTAGCAGAAGCCCTGACAGCTAAAACCCTGGCAGCAAACCTACCTTTTGTCCCCAGTGCTGGGCCCTGAGGGGAGCTGCAGGTAGAGATACAGCTTGTCGCTGTCTGAGAACTTCTGCACATCTTGCTGAGGGCGAGGAAGAGGCAGCAGAGTTAAAAAGGGCCCGCGGTGGACCCCCTCATTCAAAGTGAGAAATGAAGCTGACCCAGAGATCTTGAGGCTGAAAGAGGCGACTGAAACGATTCAAGGCTGCGTGCCCACCGCCTCTGAGGACCCCACAGGAAGAGGGGAGCAGAGGGGATCAGTGCTCTTGGTTTCTATCAGACGTCACCCAAGAGTCACGCGAGGAGAAGGGAGACGCTCCAGTCCATCGAGGTCCCCCTGCCGGGCGGCAGCACCCCAGGGCCCACATCCACCTCACTGACTCAGACCCTGCTATCTTCACCCCCAGTTCTCTCTCTGTTGCCTTTGCCCCCAGAATACTCACCAGGATTCCCTCTACTTTGTTCTGCACGGCCTTGCTGCGGGGGAAGAGGAGAGGTTAGGCTCACGAGACCCCATCAGGCGGCTGGGGGAGAAGAGGGCCCAAAGGCTCAGGAGCCACCTGGGGGCGGGGCGGGGCGGGGCGCAGCTGGCCCGCAGAGGAAGTTGAGGGCTGCAGGGCCCTAAGCCAGGCCGGGGCAGGATTTGGAGGTGATGCGCGCTACTTACGAGATGCTACCTCGCAGCTTCTGGAGGAGCGTGGTGGGTTCCCCCGCCTCGGCACTACCTGGGGGGGGCCGCCCCCCGGCCTTCGGGCTCTTGGCATCGGGTTCATCTTCTGCCATCCCGGCATGAGGGCTGCGAGGAGAGGCCCGAGGTGTAACTCCCTCCCGGCGCCCGCCGAGCCAGAGGACGCCGCGATGTCCTCGCGTGGCCTTTCCCTCCGCACCCGCCGGCTCCAGGCACCGGGAGTCACCCCATCGCTTCTGGGGTCCGGGCCGGCCGGAGGCCTCGCCGCGCGCCGCCGGCGCCCCCCGCCCCCCACCCCGCGGCCCCTAACCGCGCCGAGCCGCGGGGCCGGCACCCGGGCGGGGAGCGCGCGCCGGCCGCGACCCCTGACCCCTGACCCCCGGCCGCCCCGCCCGGGCCCGGCGCCGCGCGAACTTCCCGGCCGGGCGGCGGGTTCCCCGCGCCGCCCGCCCCGCCCGCCAGGCCCGGGCCGCGGCCCCGCCGCGCCGCCCGCCGCCCCGGCCCCGCCGTCCGCGCCCGGCCCCGCCGCCCCGGCCCCGCCGCGGCCCCGCGGGGGCTCGGCCGGCGCGGCCCCGGGCGGCGGGGAGCGGGGTCCGGCCCGCGGCCCGCGCCCGGCGGCCGGAGCGCCCCGGAAGGGCCGGCGGCAGCCCCCGGCCCGGCCCGCGCCCCGCCGCCCCCACCTCCGCGCGGGCGCCCTCCGCCGCCGGCGCCACAAAGGTGCGGGAGGAAGAGAAACTACCTCGCGCCGCCTCCGCTCCGGCCCAGCCCGCGGCCCGGGCCCGCGGCGCGTGCGTTGCTCTATTTTCTTTTTTCTGACTGGCTGCGGCGGCCGCGATCTGCCCGGATACCCGCGCGGCCCGGGCGCTGATTGGCCGCCGCCGCCGCCCGGCCCGAAGGCGCCCGGCTCGCCCCGGCGGCCGCCAAAGCTGCCTGGCAACAGCGCCTGATTGGCCGGCGGGAGGGCGCCCCAAAGTTGGCCCGCGCGGGCCCGGGAAGTCCGGGCCGGGCTCGGCGCGGGGCCGGTCGGCGGCCGGGCGGGCGCTGCTCTTAAAGGGGCCGCGGGCCGCGCCTGGCCCGGGGCGCCGAGCTGCGGGGAGGCCCCGGGCCCGCCTGGCCGCGCGCGGGCGCGGGGTGGGGGCGCTCGCGCGACCCCCGAGGACGAGGCCGCGGGGCCCCCCGCACCCCACGACGCGCGCGCGCTCTCAGGCCGGCGCGCCCTCCGCCCGGGCGCCCTCCCCGGGGGTGCTGGGTGCCCACCCCAACTTTTTACGGGTGCAGAGCTTCGTGAGCGCAGCCACGGAGCCCCAGCCCCAGGCAGCTTCGCGATGTTAGGTAAAAATTACGGACCAGAGGGAAGCGACGGAGCCCGAGCCGCGGGGAGCGCCCGCCAGAGCCCGCGGGCTGGAGCCCGGCTGCTGCGCCCCGACGCTGCGCCCCCCGCCCCGCCCCGCCCCGCCCGCGGCGCCCCGGCGCGAACCCCCACCTCGCGCCCCGGCGCGCGCTGCGGCCGCGCGCAGAGCTGGGCCCTGTGCCCGCCGGCGAGGGGGGCGGCCGCAGGAGGGGGGCGGCCGGAGCCCACCTGCCGCCCCGGGCGCCCACCGCCCCACACCCGCACCTGTCTGGCGTCACAGCTGCCCCCGGCGGCGCTGTCGGCCTTTTGCAGACAGGGAAACAGACGTGCCCTCTTTTAACATGCACAGAAAGTTCTGGAATCAAAATCCAAGGCCGGCAAAACCCATTCCCCTGAGCTGCCCTCGACCCCAGGGCCGGCCGCGCGCGCGCGCCGGGTGCAGGGGCGCCTTGGACTGGAGGGGAGAAGCCTCGGACAGTCCGCGTGGAGGGGACAGAGAGCTCTTGACTGGACAGAGTTTGTGATGACTGATGCGATTTAGGATTTTGCAGATGGCAGGAATAATTGCAAGTTTTAGCAAAGGGAGAAAAGGTACCTCGGCTCTGTAAGGGAGAGGTGCTGGCAGCACTTGCGGAAGGCGGTGGAGTTGAGTAGTTGGGGGGGACCTGTTCCTTATTTATGCCAGGCGTTGTGCCAACAGCTGGGGATGCAGAGCTGAATAGGGCATGATGGTCCTTGCTCTGAGAAGAGTTGTCATCACAGCAAACATTGATGAGACCTCGATACGTGCCAAGGTCCTCGCCTCTCTCATAGCAACTCTGTCGCTAGGTGCTGTGACCATCCCCATTTTACAGGTGGGGAGTCAGAATCATTGAGAGATTAATAAGCGGCACCATTACAGTTACTAAGTGGAGCCAGGAACCTAGGCCGCTGGATTCACACTGTGCTCTTAGATGCTATCAGACAAAGATGTAAACATCATATATACACACCCTACAATTTTAGAAGTAAATTTCCTAAACACAAAGATGCAAACCATGAAGAAAAATGCTGATGTATTTAGACACATGAATATTAAAAACTTAAATATAGGGCCTCCCCGGTAGCGCAGCGGTTGAGTGCTGGGTTGTGAAGCTGCCCGCAGCCTCTGCAGCGCCGGTTCGATCACCGGAGGAGGGTCCCACATGGCGCGCAGACCTCTCCTGCCACCCGCTGCTCCCCTCAGCAGTGTATTTCGTCAGTCTGCCTGTTCTGTTCCCCGCTCTGGCTCTGGTGAATTCTCTCACCCTCCCGTGCTTCTGACTGTACCCAATGCTTGTGTAAATAAATAAATCTTTAAAAAAAAAAAAACTATATATTTTTTTCAAGCTTTATTTATTTATGCATACTAGAGCTGGGGTATAGGACAGAGATGTAGGGGGTGAGAGGATCCACCAGAGACAGAGCAGGGAACAGAACAGGCAGACTGACTGAAATACACTGCTGAGGGGAGCAGCAGGGAGATAGGAGAGGTTTGCTTCGCCATGTGGGTAGCTCCCTAGCCAGCTGGGGATCGAACTCATGCTGCAGAGGCTGTGGACAGCTTCACAGTGCTGTTCTTAACCCCTTGTGCCACCAGGGAGGCTCTAAAAACTTAAATATATTTTTAAAAAACACCATGAAAAGAATACAAAGTCAAACCGCAAATTGGGGGGAAGGCATTTTCAAGACGTGTAACTGACAAAGGATTATTACCTGGATTTTTTTTTTTTAAGATTTATTTATTTATACAAGAACTAGGGTATAAGGCCAGAGGTGCAGGAGGGTGAGAGAATTCCCCAGAGACAGAGTGGGGAGCAGAACAGGCAGACTGACCAAAGACATTGCTGAGGGGAGCAGTCGGAGAGGCAGGAAAGGTCTACTCCTACCATGTGGGTAGCTCCCTGACCGGCCAGGAATTGAACCCGCGCTGCAGAGGCTGTGGACAGCTTCACAGCGCTGTGCTCAAACCGCTGCGCCACCAGGGAGGCCCACTACCTGGAATTTATCCGAACCTTTTTACAAATAAACAGGTAAGTGACAGGTAATAGAGAAATGGGTAGAGGAAGTGAGTAGGCACTTCTAGAAGAAGCAGGAATGGCTCATGAAGATGAAAAATTGTTCATGCTCTGAAGGAACCAAGAAGATGCAAATGAAAATCACAGTTTCATAGCCACCTGTTTGGCAAGAATTTCAGTCTTGCAACAATGAGAGTCGACGTGGTCGTGGGCCCGCCGGCGCCCTCCCCCAATACCCGGGGTGTCTCTGGTACAACCACTTTGGAAGACAGTTTGGTTTACTTGGTAATATTGGATGTGTGACTATCTTCGGACCCTGCCGTCTTGCGCCTACCTCAGCCTTGTAAACCTCAGAGACACGGGAGGAGGTTTATAGCGTCATCACTCGCATCAGCAAAGCTGGCCACAACGCAGAAGCTCTTGACAGTGGGCTGAGTTGTGGATCTTTATTCAGGGAAAGGTCATAGGGAAGGGAAACGAATCAGCCGCAGCGCCTGCCTCCCCGGGGGTGCACTTCAGAAACAGTGAAGGGCCAGAGCGCAGAGGAAAACATACAGTGCGACGCAATTTGTAAGTATTTCATGACAGGCAATCCTGAGTGATAAGTCGCTTATATGTACATGGTAAAAAATTAATGAAAAGTGGGCCTCCCCGGTGGCGCAGCGGTTGAGCGCTGGGTTGCGAACCTGCCCGCAGCCTCTGCGACGCCGGTTCGATCCCCGGCTGCTCCCGGGCCACCGGAGGAGGGTCCCGCATGGCGCGCAGACCTCTCCTGCCGCCCGCTGCTCCCCTCAGCAGTGTACTTCGGTCCTTCTGCCTGCTCTGCTCCCCGCTCTGGCTCTGGTGAATTCTCTCACCCTCCCGCGCTTCTGACTGTACCCAGTGCTTGTATAAACAAAACAAACAAACAAATAAATAAATAAATAAACAAGCCTCTATTAAAAAAAAAAATTAATGAAAAGTGATCGAATGATTCCCATTAGCTTAAGGGCAGACGATCCTCTGGCAGGCTTGGTCAGTCAAGTCTTCATCATTTAATTAGTATGTTTTGCAGGTGGCCAGTCATTTCCAAATATTTATAATTTCCTTCTTATGGCTGCTTCCTTTTTTTTCCTTTTATGGTTTCACATGTCAAGTTCCCCTTTATAGTTAGGTCTATTTCTAGTTAGGTCTTATTGTCTTGTGTTGATTCTGGTTGTCTAGTCCTACACTGATCACACAGCATATTTGATGTCTAATGCTCAGTAACTTGCACTCTGCAGCCTCTTCCCTGCCCACCTGTGACGATGCAGGCGTCTCTCTGTTTTCCTTTCTCTTTTTCCTAATAAACCTGTCCTTTTAAGATTTTTTTTAGTTCTATAATTAGTTTTGTTAACTTTTTTCCTTACAATTTAGCTCAATTTTAATAAAATGTTTCCCAAGCATTGTTTTGACAGGTGCTCAGGCTTAAGTCAGGAATATTGACTGCGTCCCTTTGTTTCCCACACTTGAATTTGAGGGACTGACCCGGTTCCTAACGGCCCGATCTCCACACCGCTTCTTCACATGTGTCCATTGGAATGTTGTCTGTTACACTCATTGGTTTGTGAGTGTCTTCTGGAACACCGTGGAAGCTGTGAAGGCTGATTTCCATGCTGCGTGGCACGCACCCAAGCATCACTAATGCACAGAATGAGAACAAGAGCATATTCACACGAGTGTGCCCCATTCCCCTTTTCACTGCTCATTTTGCTCAGGGCTCCTGAGGTCGAAGAGAAGAATCTCCAAGTCAACATTCGGCCGCCCAGGGTACACTGACAGCAGGCCCATCCGCAGAGCGCGGGCAAATTGTAGGCACTGTCTGGCGCAAAGCAGTGGCCGCCGGGGCCTGTTCTCATGGGACCTCAGGGCCGCGCTGCTTCTCAGTCAGGGTCTTCCAGACAAATTCCCTTAATACCATTGTGATTTAGAGCCGCGCATCCACATGGAGTGTCAGTACATCCTTTGGGGATTTAAGAGCTCAAAATTTCCAAAATATCCAAAATTGAATTCAGGGCTTTGGGAAGTGGGGAACTGTAGAAGCAACAGGGCTGCATGTCTGCAGCAATCACTCATCGGGATGACGATTCCTCAGACGACCCCTGGGAACACCCAGGAAAGCGTGCAGCCAGCTCCGGGCCCAACAATGCCTGGTTTTTATCCTCTGAGTGCTTGTATCAAAACACATATTAAACCAAGGAAATGACCAGAGATTTATGGGCCAGACTTCACACCTGCCACCTGGGCCTTACGTTCTCAGCATCCGCCTGGGCGCTGCAGCAGGTCTTCGAGAACACACGACAGAGGGGCCTTCTCAGGGAGGGGACTGCAGGGTCAGGGAAGGCTGTGTCACTGCTGGGGCCGGGCCGTCCGTGAGAGGGAGGCCTCTCCTGGTTTTGTGGTGCCTGTTTCAGCGATGTGGGGTCAGACATAGTGAGAGGAGGCCAGGATCAGAATAAAAGTGAGGAGCATTTTCTAGGTTTTTATTATGAGAAAATCTCAACCATGCAAAAGGGGAAGGAGGCCCACGCACACGCCTGTTATCCTGACTTAAGAATTCTCCACGGCCGGTCAATCTGGCCTCAGCTCCGTCTCCTCCGCTCTTTAACTCACCACCCATTTGCGCCATCTGTGTTGTCTTTTCCTTCCACTCTTTTGTTTTAAATTCACCAATAAAGGATGCACCTTGGAGACCCTCAGCCCCAACAGGCCTCCCGACCCGAGCTCCCACCCCACGCTTGCTGTACCCACAGTGGTGCACAACCTCCGGGTCTCGGAAGTAACAAACTTCTCCGTTGTCAAAGTCTCCAGATGGTTATTGCTGAGGCGCCTCTTGGAGTCACTGTGAGAATCGCAAGGGCTGCCGACGGGCTGAAACTGGGCGAAACGGCGATCTCTGAGACTGGCTTCTTCCCTCGGTGTGGTTCTCTTGGGCTACCCGGGCTCTTACTTGTGTCGATAGCTCGTTCCTTTTTCATTCCTTTGGAAAACGAGTGTGGCTTTATTTCACGACTAGCGAGGGGGCCGCTCCTTTGCTCTCTTCAGTGCAGGGCCCACCACTTGTCCACAGCCCGCGGCTCGGGGCGCGCTTGACCCCACTGCTGCTGGGATGAGCTGCTGCCCAGCTACCATGTCTTCTGACTCATCAGTGTTAAAGTTGGTGAAGCGCCGCTTCTTACAAATACAGCTTTTCTGGTGGGCAGAGAACTTGAGCTTGGCCCTGCCTGGTGCCTCAGGGACATGCTCCTGGCTCTGCAGTGTGGTGCAGAGGGACAAGATGGCTTGGCCGGTGTGGACCCTGGCCACTGTGCCTGGGGCTCCCCAGAGGCACCCCACATACCTGTCTAGAGCCTGACATCGGGAGAGCATGATGTCAGACATGAAGGACAGAGAAAGGTTGTCTCTGAGGTGCCTTAGACCAACCCATGCAAGCGGCAGGCTGCACTCGCAAGCAGGGAGGCTGCTGTCTGCAGGCCCCGCGTGGGTGGCCTGGTTGGCCGCAGAATCGAGCTGGCTCCTGTCTAGTGCTGAGCAGTGGCCCATTCTGTGGGTGCAGCACAACTGATGACCCATTAGTCGCTGAAAGACATGTGGGTAGTTTCCAATCGGTGGCTACTACGTGTGAAGCTACAATGCATGATTGTGTACAGATCCGTGTGTGAATGTACACTTCCAATTCTCTGAGTTAAATAAATGCCCAAGAGTTCAGTGACAGGGTCCTACGATGATTGTGTGTTTGGTCTTTGAAAGGGACTGCCAACCTGTTTTCCGGAAGCGGCCACGCCACTTTGAATTTCCACCAGCGACGTCGGCGCGGTGGCCCCTCCGCGGCCTTGCCAAGAGACTGAGCTGCCGTGGTTTCTGGCTTGGCCTTTCTGGTAGGTGTGTGGTGAGGCCACACGGTTTAGTTTGCGCTTCCCTGCCGGCTGGTGATGCTGACCAGCTCTTGTCCTGTCTCCTACCCGTATATCTTCTTCGGTGAGATGTCTCTCCTCCATTTTCTAATGAGTATTTCTGTTTGCAGCTGAGTTTCTGGTGTGCTCAAATACTAGTTCTTTGGCATGAATACAAAACCCTCCGAGTCTCCAATAGATTCCTGGCTACCTGACATGAGCAGGGCTTGAGGTTCATCTTGTTAAATGGAATTTTAAGCTTTTAGAAATATATGGAAATGATGTAGCGCTATAAAATCCATTCTTTTCCCAAAGAAATTTGATTATTGAAAAGGACAAGGAAGAAACCTAGGAGAGAAACTTCTGGTAAGACCCAGCAAATCCCAAGGCTCCCTATAGCTCCCAATTCACCCCATTCCTTTATATTCAGGGCTGCGTTAAAGCCTACGTGCTTTAGTAGTCCAGCGGCCGCTGGGCTCAACAGGGAGCAGCAAGCCGATGGGTTGTGTTTTCATGATGAGGTTAAGTGCAGAGGCCTGGCCGGGGAGGACAGGGAAGGAGGCTCCCTGAGGCTGTGGCCGCCGGGCAGTGAGGCGGCAGGAGGGACTCAGGCCTCGTGTGCAAAGACCTCCAAGGGAAGGAGACACGTTCTGGGGCGGCCGAGTCCTATTGGGGCTCTGAGACTCTTCCAGTGATCACAACAGACACAGCTTCGCAGAGGCTGAGGAAAAGGAAGGGTCACACCTGAACGTTGCTCAGTGTTATCTTAGGCAGAGAATAAAGGAGTTCATAGAGTGACTGCTTGGCTGCTGTCTTTTTGGTTCCATCTCATCCTTTTCATAGAGAACTACAGAGCTGGCGCAGAGGAAGGAGAGTCTCTGATCTGGGCACGTTCTGAGACGTGAGGCAGGCGGCACCCGTCTGGGCTGGACTGGGACGTCCCCAGCCCTCGGGTGCAGTCACGAGTCTGTCTGCCAGGTGGGGGGGCACGCGGGGCGCCCCCCGCGCCTCCCCTGCAGGGGACACTTCCGCGCCAGGGCCCAGCTGTCTCCCGGGTGAGAGGGCACTGCATTCTGGGGCCGGCAGGTGAGAACTTAGGTTCACCAGTGGGGCTTTAAAACAAGGCTGGACACGTCACGCCCTCCGCCCAGCCTCTGCGCTGCCGGCACCACCGACTCCGCGTCCAGGGTCACAGCAGCAGCGTGCTGTGACCACAGGCGTGAACTAGTCACTCCAGCCCACCTCGGAGGGTTAGCATGTCTTTAGGACATTCCTGTGCAGGAGACCGGGGTCAGCAGAAGGGGTACAGGGGTGCCCCCCCCAGGACAAGCTGGCCCGAGGGATGGGTTCATTGGTTTATTTTTTGGTGAAGTGATTTCCAAGAGCTCACGTACAGACGGCACAGAGCGACACGCGACAGTGGCTGGTGATGGAGACTGCTAAATGCGTTTCAACTACCTCAGCTGGGCTTTTTAGACAAGCTGCTGAGCGGGAAGCACAAACCGGGTCTCTGCAGGAGTGAGGGCTTGGGGTCGGGGCTCGGGCCTGGAGCGGGGCCGCGGGGGCCCTTCAGAGCCAGATGTCCGAGCTGCAGTCGCCCCCAGGGTAGCGGAGCTCGTGGGCCAGGGCTGGGCCCATGGGCTCCTTCCCGAAGTCCACCAGGAAGTTGGGGTTCAACTTCAGTCCTCCATTCACAGTATCCACATCGACCTGCAGCATCACCGAACCTTCCCTGGTGGGGGTAGGGAGGGGGTGAGAGGGACATCCTGGTGGTGGCTCCTCCTCAGGATGGGAGCGCAGGATGGGTTTCTAGGCAGGGAGCAGGGTCTGTGTGGTGGGGGGGCAGGCGGGGTGCCCAAGGAGTCATCAGAAAGCCAAATGTCCCTCTGGGAGGATGCCCGGGCAGTTTGCTCCTCACCTGATGAGATCCGGGTAAAACTGCTTGTCCCAGGCGCTGTACAGTGACGTGGTGACGTAGAGCCGCTTGCCGTCCAGGCTGAGCTGGATCATCTGGGGGCCTCCGGCCACCCGTTTTCCCTTGGGAAAGCCAGGGGTCAGAGCCAGGAGGCATCCAGACTGCTCGGCCCCCCTACCTCTCCCGCATGGATCCCGGGGTCCTCACCTTGACCACCAGGGGTTCTGGCTGGCAGTTCAGCTCCTGGTCCTCCAGCACTTGCACGGGGCCTCCCTTAGTAATGCTGCCCCCGATAAACAGCTGGATGTGGCGGTGCAGAGCAGGGAGTGGGGCGGGTGGGAGGAGCACAGTGGGAGGTGAGGGCATTGCGGGGAAGAGCGGTTGGCCTTGGCCAGGAGCCCTCTTCATGATCCCCCTGCACCACCCATCACCCCCATCCTTGTTTTTCCTGCACCTCCCTTCTACCCCCAGTCACTTCATACTTCTCCCTCCTCCCCAGACTCTGGCCTCCCCCTTCCCCCTGCCCCAGCGCACCTGCCCGGCCAGTCGAGGCCGCTGCGGGTCGGAGATGTCGTATTGGCGCAGGTCGCCGTGCAGCCAGTTGCTGAAGTAGAGGAAGCGGTCGTCCAGGGACAGCAGGATGTCGGTGATCAGGCCTGTGGGGTTCGGAGCAGTTCAGGACACTTGTTCCCGGGCCAGGACTCACCCCTCCGACTTCTCACCACTTCCCGGGCACTCACTTGGCATTTCAGGCAGCATCCAGCCCTTCACCTTCTTGGGGGGCACCTGGATCACCTTCTCCACGGACCACGTACCTCCCTGCACCAGGCGGTGGAGCCGGGGTTAGGAGGCGGAAGGAGCCTGGGCAAACGCTGGGGAGAGGGGCTGGCGGCAGGCCCAGCAGTCACCTCATTCTTGTAGAAGCGTTGAATGTTGGAGCTTAGGGCGCAGCCCACGAAGCCCTGGGAGGCGGCTGGGTTGTGGAGGAAACGGATCTCCAGGGGGATGAGCCCGTCCTGCAGGGGCAGCGTCTGCAGGATCTCGTGGCGCTGCCAGTCCCACACGTGCAGGTGGCTCCCATACTTCCCTGCAGGGGTGGGGCGGGAAGGCGGCTCGGGTTCAGGGGTTGGGGTGGGAGGGCAGGAGCAGGGCAGGGCCCGGGGTGGGAGGCTGAAAGGTGGGTCGGAGCAAGTCAGCGCTCTCAGCTCAGCCGACCTCCTCACCCCAGGTGTCTGCGGGTCCGTGTCAGGGGAGTGAGAAGGAGCAAAGCCAGGGTGGCCCCGGTGGCCTTTTCACCTGCTTCCACGTCGGCGGGGTTGAAGCCGTCTATTATGACGTTGGGGGCCCCCCACTCCGTGCTGATCATGACGTTGTGGCGGGGCTGGTACCAGAAGTCGTAGCCCATGGGCGCGGCACCCCCGGGCTGCTCCCACGTCCCCTTCACCTCGAAGGTCTCTCCATCCAGCAGCACAAAACCCCCTGGGCAGGGAGGGGAGCCAGGTAGCAGGCAGCAGTGGTGCAGAGCGACCTGCCAGCTCCCCCTCAGGCGTGTCCGGGAGGCTGGAGCCCGCTGCCCGGTGCTCCTCCCCCCCTGTGCTTAAATTCAGGTGTTCAAAGTTCACACCCAGGTGCTGACTTACTCTGGCAGGTGCCTCCACCCATCACCTCAGCCCTCTGCAGGCAAAACGTCTCCCCGTGAGCCAAGAGCTCTCCCGGGGCGCTCACAGCTTCTCTTGCCAACCTGCCCTTTCGGTGCAGGATTCCTCCCAGAGTCCAAGTGCTGTCCTGCTCACTAGGACTCCTCAGAGCGCAGAGAAACTGTGTGTACAACTCAACATGAGTGCCCAGCGTGTTCTCCGCTTGCCAAGTGTGAGAGGACACCTTGGTATGTCTTTGCCAGCACAAAGAGGTCAACTCCCAAGTGTGGTTAAACCTTGGAACGTCAAGCTCCCCCTGCCTCCTGGGAAAGCAGGTCAGAGGTGCCCGGCAGCTACCATAAGCAGAGGGTCTTAGCCAACCCCACCCAAGCCCCGGAGTGGGCGCTGCGGGGAAGCAGCCAAGGCCACAGAGAAGCGGAGCCAGGTGGCTGGTCTGAGTCCAGGCCTGCACCTTCGGGTGAGAGGCTCAGCCAGCCTGGGCCTGTTCTCATGTGTGAAACAGGGATCAAGTGGCACCTGCCTCGGAGGTTGTCCGTGGCACACCTACGTGTCAGCGCCGACCACTCCACAGAGGAGGGGGCAGAAGCAAAGACGGGGTGTGTGCGTGCGCTCACGAGGCCGGTGTAACGCGTGTGTTCCTGGGCCCTGTGCTCGCACCCACCCCCCCGCAGACTGCTCTGGGGATCACTTTCAAGTGACTTCACCCTGAAGGCTCATCTTCAGGAAATAATTGAAACAATCTAGGTCCTTGGCTATAGTTTCCATCTGGGAGGAGACTCCACCCCCATTCTCTCTGGAAGGTCGTTCCATTGCTTCCCCCAGCATGGAAGCTGCCCCCACAGCGGTGGCTGGGAGCGGGATACCTTTGCTGTTGCCCTTGGGGTCTCCCAGGGCGCTGATCATCACCTCCCCGCTGGCCAGGCAGTGGCTGGTGTGGAGATAGCCCAGGCCGCTCTTGGCGTGCACGTCCTGGGCCTCGATGACCTGGAGGGGCACAGGGCAGGGGAGGGAATGCTCCTCAGCGCAGGCCCCGAGCTCTTCCCCCACCCCCTCCTTCTAGCCGCTGAGCCTGTCTTCTTTCCTGCTAAACGTGGGCAGTTTCCCTGTGGGAATATGGCAGAGATTCAGCCTCGGAGCCTCTGCAGCGTGGCAAGGGCCTGCGGAGAGCCGCATGCTCCCCAGCAGGAAGCACTGACTGACCTGGGTGGACCTGTCTGGAAGGCACTCCCAGCCCAAGAGAGCCGGCTGCTGTCAGGCTGGGCGCCAGCGGCAGGCAGGGCTCCCCAAGTGTTAAGAGGATTAGGCACCTGCCCTGCCCGGCAGGAAGCCCTGGGCTTGTGGCGAGAGCGCTGGCTCTCCCCAGCTCAGAGGTGCACGGAGCAGCCTTGGCCCAGCCCTGGCAAGGACCCAGCCCTGGCGCACAAGTGCTCAGTGCGGTGCCCGCCCGCGCTGCTTCTCGCTCTCCCCTAGCGCCCGCCTAGCCGCCTCTAGCCCTGAGCCCCGACCCCAGCCAGAGGATGGGGTGAGGGGGGGCATCGCCCTAATTGTGCAGCCTGCCTTGTGCAGCTTGGGGGCCCGGGGCTCGGAGCCCACGTCCACCACGTAGATGCGGGAGGAGATGAGGCTGGGCAGCACCAGCTTGTTGCGCGTCTTGGAGCTGTCCCCGAAGCAGCTGCTGCAGGTGTTCCACCCTGAGTGGTGCAGCTCGTCCTTGACGTTGGGCATGGGCAGCCGGTGGATGACCTAGGACGGGGCGGGCGGTCGCGCTGGCACAAGGCCCCCCGGGGCCGCCTCGGTGGGCAGCGCAGCCCGGACTCCCCTCGCACTTGGGGGTACCCCTGGGCAAGGAACAGCCCGCACAGGCACACCGGTGGGGGGGCAGGGAAGGAGAGCGGGGCTGGGAAGGGCACGCAGCCGGGGTCAGAGGGGGGTCGCCTGAGGCCCGCCTCACCTGGCAATACTGGGGAGACTTGGGGTCCACATCCACCGTGGCCAGATAGTCTGGGGCCTCAGTGGCCGTGTTTCGGTAAATGCAGGGCAGGTAGACGATCTCCTCCCGGGGCCCTAGAGGGGGAGCGCGAGCCAAGGAGCCGGGGCGGGACGGGGCGGTGGGTGGAGGCTGGAGGCCGGTACCAAGCCACCCTACCCCGTGCGGTCGGTGGGGGGGCTGGTTCGCGGGGCTCCTTCCGGGGTGCTGCCGCTGGGGCGCTTACCTTTCATGGCGTCCATCGGGGTGGGGTAGCCGGGTCCACACTTGCCACATTTTGTAGCTGTGGGAACAGTGGGGCTCGTCTGCCAGACCGCACCCCGGCACCTTTCCTACTCTCAGCAAAAGCTGGGCCGCCCCTCGCCGCTCCAGGGCAAGGCGGTCTCCTGTGGCCCCATCGGGACCACCCATTTTCCTGCCCCTGAAAGTCCTGATAAAGGCGCCAGCTGCAGAGACGTGGCCTGGAGGCGGCACGCGCTCCAGCAGGGGGGCGTCGCGAGGGAGGGGCTGCAGCAGAGGCTGGGGGCCGGGGTGTGACATCAGCCAGGGTCCCAACCCCAGTCGGGAGAGGCCAGGGGAGCGTGGGCAAATTATCCTCTCTGGCCCCTCCGGCCCGCTTCCGCGTTATCTGTGAGGAGACACGGCCGCGGGGTTTTGCCAGAGGCAGAAAGCGCGGCTGTGCCTGGGAGCGAGCCTGGTGGGAGCCCCTGAGCCCTGGTCCGAAGCCCCAGGGAGCTGGGCTCTTGGACCCCCTTAGCTGAGAGGCCCCAGACCCGGGGCGGAGCACTCACTCTCCGGAGCCGGTGATAACCAAGGGTCGGGGGAGGGGTGGGGGGCTGCAGGGCCAGGAGGCAGGGCTGATACCAGCCGCGTGTCCTCAGGATGGATTCTGTGGCTGGGTGGACCCCACTTCCTTTATCTGGAGAGTAAGGTATTTGGCCCATGTCTGGAGATCTCGGGGCCCACCCATCAGCGCTGGTCCGGAGGGGAGGCTGCTCCCCCTGGTCCGCAGGGCTAGGGCCGCAGGGAGGCAAGGCGGCTGCAGACCAGGCGGCCCCGGCGGGGCCTGACCGCGCCAGGGCTGCAGCTGGACGAGAGCCCGGAGCGCGGCTCACGGGACTGGGCCCTGCCGGAGCCGGGTCAGAGCCAGCTGGCCGCTGGCCAGAGAGACGGGGCCCCAGCGGGGAGCCAGGAGCAGCCAGGGATTCCGCTGGTGCTTGACCCAGGCCCGGGGAGGCGGCCCCCCAGCAGCAGCCAAGGGACTCCGGAGGGTGAGACCTGGGAACGTGCTTTCAAGCCCAGAAACCTGCTGGAGGCCCAGCAGGGGGTAACATAAGACCCGCCCCTTTCTCCAGGGGACATCTGCCAAGTGAGACAAAGTATTCAGGAGGGTGTTTGCCAGGGGAGGGCGGCGTGAAGGGGGGGCGGGCAGCGCTCAGCGCTGAGACAGGGCTGGGGGCGGGGGTGGGGGGGGGAGGCAGGTCCCGAGGAATTAGGAGCCTGGCCCTGGCACACGAGGTGCTGTTTGGGGTTTGGCACTGGCGCGAGGGGGAGGAGAAGGAAGTGGCTGGGTCCAGAAGGGGAAGGAATTCCAAGCCATCAGGACACACCGGGAAACTGGGAAGCCAAGGAGACGGGCAGCCAAGCGGGAGGAGGTGTTGCCCTTGGGCATGGCACCCCGGCGTTTCTGCTGTGTCTTCTTTCTGGGGATAACCCCCCGCCCTCCCCCACCATTCTTAAGCATCTGAAGCCAGACCCCCAGTGGCCCTGGGGCTGAGGCGAACGTGGAATCTGGCAGTCGGGCATCCTGCAGCGGGAAAGAGCCGGAGACAAGGGGCCTGACTCCCGACTGGACTGGCGCCACCTCAGACCGGGGCCATCATTTCCGGGAGGGAGCAGTTGGGGGGCTTCAGGGCCGAGAGGGCAGGGGCACTAGGGCAGGCCCTGGTGAGAGACGCAGGCTCCCTGGCTCCTCTCCACTGTGGAGGGTGATATGGGGGACCGAGGGGGTGACAAGGGCCCCCTAGGGCCGGGCTCCCACTGGAGGAAGGATTCAGCCCAGGGCTAGGGTCAGGGGGCCTGTCTCCCGGAGCCCCGGGCAGGGACGCAGAGCACCCCAGTGCTCTCCCGGGCCCGACTTGGCTGCAGGAAGGCTCCCTGGCGCCAGGTCCCAGCTGGCAGCTGGGTGGGAGCCTGGGGTCACTCACCCCAGCTGCCCCTCTACCTTCCTTCCCAGGCACCTCCAGAAGCTGACTGTGCTGGGCAGTGCAGGTGGCAGGAGGGGGGGCCACGGAGCCAAGGCCAGATCTCCCTCACAGGCTCCCCCAGGCTTCCTGCCTCTCCCTGTGGGGTGGCCTGGGTGGGCAGTGCAGCTGCCCGCAGCCCCTCCTTACCCATGCTGCCGCGGTAGCTGCTGGGCCTGGTCCCGAGGCCGCCAGGGGTGAGTAGAGGCGGAAAACTGCGTGGTGTCAGGGCAGGCTGTGTCCAGGAGGGGCAAAGGGAGGGAATTTATAGGGCCAATTGGGTGGTGGGGCGGGCCCGGGGGAGGGCCTGGCTACAGCCCAGGGTGTCAGGGCTGCCGGCCAAGATGCTCCTAAGTGGCCTGGAGGCTGGAGTTCAAGTTACAGAGCGTGTAGGGCGGAGCTTGTGCCCGGTGCGGGCGTGTACTGTGCCCGCCAGTGTGCGCGTGCATGGCTGTGCACGCACCTGCTCCCGCGCCCCGCGTGGCTGCACGGGCTCCCTTCAGGGCAGCCTGCACGAGCACGGGCTGGGTCCGTGGGGGAGTCTGCTGTGAGTGTGCCTGTGCCTGGACTTGTCTGTGAGTGTGTGCCCACGAGTGCCTTGGGTGAGTGTGTGTGTGTGTGTGTGTGTGAGAGAGAGTGAGAGCAAGAGAGAGCCCTGTGCGTCCACGTTCCTGAACTTGGACCTGTGTCTTGGCATTTGGGGTGCCTGGGGCCGCGGGCCCAGTCACTCCTGCCTCGCACTTGCAGGCCCAGCTCTGCTGAGAGTGAGCTCTTGCTTCAGACACCCCGCTCCAAGATGCAGCCCACGCAGGAACTGCCCCCCGCTCCCTGGGGCTGCTGGCGGAGCCTCCCCGTGAGCTTTGAACTGAAAGCTGGCAAGTGCCCCATCGCCTGTCACAGACTACAGGAGGGGCCGGAACACCTGCCCCTCATCCTGGCCTGGTGCCTCAACAGATCCTGGGGGTAGGGACGGCAGGACTGGGGGCAGCCCAGGCTGGCCTCGCTGTTCCGGCTGCCCTGTGGCAAGTCATGAAGCTCAGGGGCTCCAGCTCTCTGGGAGGGAGTCCTCTAGCGGGTAGGGGGGGCAAGGGGGGGCTTCCCAGGGCTGCTGGCCTGTGCCCTCAGCGGGGCGAGGACACACGGGCTGCCTGGGCAGGAATGGCAGCGGCTGGCGGGAGGGCTGCAGGGGGCTGGGGCCTGATCCGCCGCTGCTCTCCTGCAGAGTTCAGGGCGAGACAGAGGCTGGGAACCCACCCAGGCTGCTCCCTAGAAGCCGAGGGGCCCCTCCTCCCTCATAGCCAGCGCCTTCTAGGAAGCTGCTGCCGTGTGCGGGGAGAGTCTCCACAGGGAAGTTTTTTTTTTTTAAGATTTATTTATGCATACAAGAGCCGGGGTACAGGCCAGAGGTGCGGGAGGGTGAGAGGATTCACCGGAGACAGAGCGGGGAGCAGAACAGGCAGAAGGACCGAAGTACACTGCTGAGGGGAGCAGCGGGGAGACAGGAGGGGTCTGCTCGCCATGTGGGTTGCTCCGAGGCCGGCGGGGATGGAACCGGCGCTGCAGAGGCTGCGGAGGCTGCAGACAGCTCCACAGCACGGCGCTCAACCGCCTGCGCCACCAGGGAGGCCCCCACAAGGAAGTTTTTGCTGGGTGGTGAGAGGGGCAAGGCCTGACCTTGTGGCAGCCGCAGCCTTGGGCTTCCAGCATGGGGTCTGCAGCCAAGGCGGGGAGGGAGAGCAAAGGGGGCTGCGGGTGCTGGCTGAGCTCTGTCCCGATGGGGGAGGGAAGATCCTTCTGGGCCCCCCTCTCTGCCCCCGCGTCACTCAGCCCCTCGTGGCTCTGCTCGTGTCTTGGCCTCACGGCTGTGCCCTCAGCCCGGCTGGACCCCACACGGGGCCCAGGGCTGCAGTTCAACCTGAGCCGGCCTCCTGCCTCCACCACTCACTCTGCCCATCACCCCGGGCTCTTCCCCAGGGGTCTCCACCGCCTGGTGAGGAGCCCCAGGGAGATCTAGGACAGAGGGAGCCCCATCCCGCTCTCCAGGGCAGCTCTGAGTCTGAACTCCACCCAAGCTGCAGCCTTGCTGGGTCTGAGTCTGGCACTGGGGAGGGTCTGCCTGTGGCTGGGGGCCTCGAGGCGCTGCGGCCACCCAGCCTGCCTCTCCTGTCGCTTCCTCTGGAGCTCCCCCTGCAGAGCCTGTGGGGCTGGGGAGGCCTCACTGCAGACAGTGTGGAGCAGTGTGGGCGGGGGTCAGGCTGGTGGGGCCCACCCAGGACCCCTGTCTGCCTCTTACAGCACAGATGGGCTTGGGCCTGGGCGTGGGTGGGTGGGGTGGGAGTGGGGAGCGACTCCTGGGTGCACAGGCAGGGGCGCAGGCTCTGGCTCCCTGAGCCTGGTGGCTGCGTGAAGGGCCTGTCCAGCCTCTGCGGCCCCAGCGCTGGGTGGGGGGGGCGGAGCGGGGGCCCCAGGCTCAGCACCCCCATAGGCAGAGCCGCAGGAGGGGTACGGCAAGTTGGCGGGGTGAGTGCGGCTCAGGTGGCTCCCACGGCTGCAAACCCCAGCGCAGCTCAGCGTCAGGGAGGTGGCCGGGCCACCCGCCCGGGTTATGTAACAGCCCCTGAACTCCAGCCCCGCCAGAAGCGGATCCTCAGAGTCTGGGGGCGGGGCAGCTGCCGGGGACCCAGCGGTGGGGTGGGGGTGAGGGTGGGGCAGGGCACCAGGTTTCTCCTTTCTCTCCCCCGCAGCCCGATCCAAGAAAGGGCAGACCATGAGGCCAGGACCAAGCCAGGGAAGGGGAGCTGCAGCGGGCCCGAGCATGATTTCGTGTATTTAAAAAAAAAAAAGGAAAAATAGGAACATGATGTTCTTCCTCCCAACACAGCAAAACCAAACCAAACCAAACCAAACAAAGCCCGGACCAGGAAGCCCCGGAGCCGGGCCGGCGGGCCCGGCCCACACGAGCCCCCACCTCTGCCCCACTGCCCCGCTGCCCTTCGCCCTGGTCCTCCCACCGCTGCGGCCTCCGCAAGCTGCTCTCCTGCAGGCACTGACGGGGACATCAAGGACAAGGAGGAGCCGGGGGGGTCACTGCTGCTCCCGGGAGGGCCCGGCCCGCCGTCCCTGGGGCCCCTCACACCAGCCTCGCCCGCCACCCCCTGCTCACAGGCTCCCGCGCGCCTGCCTCCTGCCTCCGCCACCACGGCCGGGCGGCAGTCGGCAGAGGGGGTCGCAGCCTCACAGACATGGCCGTGACCACGGGGGCCAGAACCGGTGATGAGGAATGACCCAGCCCCGAGCCCTGCGGGGGGCGGGCGCGTGAGGGCGGCCCCGGGAGGCCGCCGTGGACACAGGCAGGTGCGCACTGAACACCCCACGACACAGAATGTGAGGAACACGCCGGAGGCAGAGGCGGCCTGTGGAGGCCTGAGGTGGACTGGCCGGACAGGTTGCCGTTTTGACCAGCTAAGCAGAGTTTCTGAGCCCTGTCCCGCTCCTGCCTCTCCTTTCAAGAGACCAACTACACCCCCTCCGGGGAGGGAGTTCCCCCAGAACCTGTTGCCAGGTGTGGCTGGCCCCACACCACGCCCTGCACCCCAGCGGGGCCCTGCCCCCGGGAGCGGAGAGGTAGCAGCTTTCTCCACCTGGCATCAAGCAGACAGGCCTTGCTAATCCTCCGCGCTCTCCCCGCTCCGAGTTCGGGGCCTGCTGCCCAGGGGCCTCTTCCAGAGCTCGGGCGAGAGAAGCAGAAATGAGGGCACGAGCCAGAGGCATTGGGGGGCTTCCTCTCCACCCCGGGCGACTGAGAAATAGCCTCCCGTGGGGTCTGAGGCTGGCGGCTGATTTCTCCACACCAGGGACCGCCCCCCTCAGCCGCCGCTGCGGGGGTACCCCAGCCTTCTCCGCTGCGGGGGTACCCCAGCCTTCTCCGGTCAGACAGCTCGGTGGGCAGCACGACTGGCTGCTGCCTGCGATGGCCGCCACAGAGAGGAGAGGAGGTGTTTCCGTTTTGCCACAGCCCGGGTCACCCTCCCATGACTTAAGAAGAGGCTGAGGCACCAGGGCCACGGCCATAGGCGGAGCCTCTGACTCGGATGCGCTGGCCACGGCTCAGCACAGGGAAGAAAGTGTTTAAAAAGCAACTGGTGGGTCTCCCCGGTGGCGCAGCGGTTGAGCGCTGGGTTGCGAAGCTGCCCGCGGCCTCTGCGGCGCCGGTTCGATCCCCGGCTGCTCCCCGGCCACCGGAGGAGGGTCCCACATGGCGCGCAGACCTCTCCTGCCGCCCGCTGCTCCCCTCAGCAGTGTACTTCGGTCCTTCTGCCTGCTCTGCTCCCCGCTCTGGCTCTGGTGAATTCTCTCACCCTCCCGCGCTTCTGACTGTACCCAGTGCCTGTATAAACAAAACAAACAAACAAATATAATAAATAAATAAATAAAACATGCCTCTATAGAAAAATAAATAAATAAATAAATAAATAAATAAAAAATGAATAATTACAGGCATCTTTAAAAAAAAAAAAAAGCACCTGGTGCCTTTGAAATTACTCTGGACCCACCCCCTTTTTTTTTCTGAGCAAGTTCTTCCTTAATTCACTTAATTCTCCCAACAACCCCCTAGAGTGAAGAATACATTAAAATTATCCCTTTTCACTATTTACACAACTGGAAGGTAACAGCATTAACGTGACACCTTGTCCCTGGTTTTGAAGAAAATGGCTCAGAGTATTTTTCCGTTAGGCATAGCATTGATCTTATTATTTTATTTTATTTTATTTTTAAAGATTTATTTATTTATTCACACAAGCACTGGGTACAGTCAGAAGCGCGGGAGGGTGAGAGGATTCACCAGAGCCAGAGCGGGGAGCAGAGCAGGCAGAAGGACCGAAGGACACTGCTGAGGGGAGCAGCGGGCGGCAGGAGAGGTCTGCATGCCATGTGGGACCCTCCTCCGGTGGCCGGGGAGCAGCCGGGGAGCAGCCGGGGATCGAACCGGCGCTGCAGAGGCTGCGGGCAGCTTCGCAACCCAGCGCTCAACCGCTGCGCCACTGGGGAGGCCCAGCATTGATCTTACTATTTTATTTTATTATTTAAAAAATTTTAATTAATTTTCGTCCATCGTTGTTCATTTCTGGACGGCACTTGATTTCTCCCCTCAGGAGCGGTCCCTGTGGCTGTCCCCCACCACCTGGCCCATCTCCCATCCCTCGTGCTCCTCCCGCCCCGTTCTGTCCCCTTACCCGTCCCTCCCCGCTGGGTGCCTGGGCTGTGGT